GCCCGTGGGGATTTGACAGGCGTTCTGTGGGGGTCTTCCCAGCCCTCAGCCTCTGAGTTTCTGCTCTGGGAAGGGGCTGGTCACCAGGGCCGGTTAGGACCTGTGAGAACATGGTCCAGGCGGCAGGGTGGGGTGGGGGGGTGTCTCTAAGTGTCAGAGTGCGGTTTTCCCAGTCCCACTGCATAGAACTTGGGGGCTTGGGAGGGTGGGCATCCCTGTTTGTGGGCTCCTCCTTTCTAAGACCACCTGTGGCACCGCCCAGTGTTCCATGGGGCCTTCCTGTGGGACCTTCCCGGCATCTGTGTTTTACTCTGAGTCCACATTCACACATCTGCAGGAGCCTCATAACCCCACTCCCCACCCCAGACCTTCGACCCCCTCTGTCCCGCAAGGCTGACTCCAGGCCGCCCCACCTCCAGGCTTGCCCACCCTCCTTCAGGCCTCCAGGCTCCCTTGACTTCCTGCAGGTGCCCCCTGCCGAATCTGCCCTGCATCCCCCTCCTGGTGAGAACCTTGGCCACTCTGGCATCTGTGCCAGCATCTGGGGAGCACTGCGGGCCAGGCACTGGCTGGGGGTGCTGGGGGGGAGGACAGCAGTGCGGGCGGGGCCCTGAGGAGAGAGGGGAGCCTCCCCCACCTGCCTGTCTCGTCCCCTGATCCAGCGCCACCTCACTGGCTGCAGCCAAGCCGGCTCTGTGCCTGGAGACCACCGGCCCCTTGCCCAGCACTAATGATGCCTGGAGGATTCATTTGTTTGTAAAACCCGGAAGCTGCTTGCTACTCCCTGGAGGGCAGGACTGTGCCAACCAAGGCGTCCTTGTGGTGGCCCCCAGGGATGGCCGTGCCTGGGGTCTGGAGTCTGGGCCAGCCGAGTTGCCTTTGGGTGGAGACAGTGAACTGAGCTCGAGGCGTGGGCCTTCGGCGTTCGGTGGGTTCCCTCGGCCGCCACCCACCCCAGCACTCGGGGCTGTGTGCAGGCGGGGCCCGCGGTGCATCCACGTTCCTTGGGCTGGACCCCTCCCACACGCTTCAGCCGTCTCACCCGGTGGGCTGGGCTGCATGGCCGTCTGTGTCTGTACCCAAGCCACACTGAGCCGAGGGGCCATCCCAGGGGACTGGGCGGAGTGACCTTGGGCGGGGTCGTGTAGACAGGAATCTGCCAGGCCAGGCACATTGGCGGAGGGACCCAGCTGGGTCCATGCCTCGGGTGTGGGGACCGTGCACCCCCCCCGCCCCCGCAGTAAAGGCCTCAGGAGCAGGGGAGGCTGAGGGGTGAGGCTGTGTGGGCATCCACTGGGGAGACCATCAGAAGGTGTTTCCTGCGGAGCCGCGGCCCCTCCCAGGTGTTTGGCGTCGGCCGGGTGGGACTCGGCCTCAGAGCCCACAGTAAGACGGGGGGGTTCTCCGCGTGTGCCCACAGCCGTATTCTTTCTCCCAGGAGGGCGCGGCGGACCTTGGGTGGGCTGAGGCCTGGCGTCCACCCTCCTGCCCGCGGCCCAGGGGTTCCACAGTTGTCCCTCCACACCGGGGCCATGCCCAGCCTTCCCTTTCATGGATTTGTGGGAGCCCTAGCTGGTAAGGGGGTGCCTGGGCCTAGGCTGGACAGGGCCCGTTTAGGAGCCTGGTGCCTCTGGGCGGAGAGTCCCGTCCTCTCTGCCGACACGGCCTCGGGGACCGAGGATGGGTGCCGCTGCTATGTCACACAGCAGCCTGTCCCACTTCCAAGGTCACCACGTGTCGTCTGAAACTCTGTGCTGTAAGGGGCCGAGCGTCTTGGCCAGGAGCCTTCACCTCTCTAGAAAGGACAGGACTTGGGGTGGTGGCACTCAGGTGTGGCAGGCCCTTCCACATCCCCAGACCTCGCCCCAGGCCGGCTTGTCACTCAGTCCTGCCACCACCTGGTCAATGGCCGTCGTCTCCTGGGGGAGGGTGTGAAGGAAGACTAGAGGACAGGGCAGAGAGGTCCGGGCCGGCCGACCTGGCAGGAGAGCCGTTCCCAGCCGTGCTGGGTCTGGGGGCCCCAGGCCAGCGCTGGGTGATGAGGCAGGGCCTGGGGGCCCCGGGGCGTTCCTGCCTGTTGGTTGTAGGAGGGCCGGTGCGGACAGAGGAGTGAGGCGGGGCGAGGAGGTGGAGGCCTCTGACCACACAGATCATGGCCCAGAGCCCCCTACGCCTGTCGCACGGAGCAGAAACCCAGGTCCTCCTGGGGCTGCCTCCCCCGCCCCTCTGAGAACCAAACATGGAGGGTGCCCTCAGCCGGAGGGGCTCTCAGTCTCCCTGGAAGGAATGTGTGGGCACGAGGACACCACACCCTCAGCACAATGGCACCCCCGAGCAGGCCTGTGCCCGAGGCCCCGTGACGCCCCTTCGTGAAGGCCGCTTCCTGCTGCCGCTCTGCCCGTGGTCGCTCATGTAAAGGCCACCCGGCCGCTGTTGCTGCCGTGTGTTCCCTGAGCGCGGGGCGAGGAGGCGGGTCTGGCAGTGGCTTCACAGCCCAGGCCCCCGCTCATCCCACCCTCACGTGTGGTGGCGGCAGCCTCCACACCCAGACACTGAGGCTCCGAGTAGGTGGCTGGCCCAGGCCAGGTGTGCACTGTGGCGGGGGACGGGCAGGTACACGCTTGGAGCACAGGCGAGGGGGTCGGTTAAGCCTGGCCGGGCTTATAGCTGGGAATCTGCCCAGTGGATGGACACTCAGGGGTGACCAGAGCAGAAGTTGGCTTGAGGTTGGAGGTGCATCCTGTGTGCTTGGGGCTGTGGACACGGGGACCTTCCAAGCGAGTGCAGGCTTTCTGACAGGTGGCGCGTGGCTCAGCAGCACAGACCCAGGGTCAGGAAAGCACCCCACCCACCCATCTCCGCCCTCAGCCCTTCTGGGGCCCTGTCCCCCTCTGTGTACACTGGGAGCGGCTGCAGGGCCCCCACAGCCCGTGCCCACACTTGTCCCCAGTGAACAGCCCCACCTGCCCGCCGTGGGGACCCCCAGAGTGCCCCCTGCTTGTGGTTGTGTTTGTGCAGTGTTCACACCCACGCTCCAGCTCCAACCCACCCGGGCCCGTCCCCAGGACACTGTGGCCCCTGCCCAGCACTGGCCTCTGCCGGCGCTGCACCCAGAGGCCAAGCACACATTGCCTTTTAAGGCAAAGATCTGCTGTGAGAAGCTGAAGGGAAAACATTTCCCTGGCATTCAGGGAGCATTTTTCCTTCCTGTTTCTCTTAAATAAACCACTAGCAACTTTTCAAAACAGAAGGGAAAAAACGGCAAGGTCAGGAGCTGCAGACCTTTCATCCCGTGTGACACCCCCCGCGCCGCCAAATGTGGGCCTCAGCGGGGCTGGCGGGGGTGGGAGGGACACAGAGCCCTTGGGACAGAGGACGGCAGTGTCTAGTTTGTGCCCTGTGCGGGGCCGCAGTGTTTTCACCCAGGCGCCGGAGGCAGCGACGGGAGCGCCTCTCCTTCTGCGGGCACTGAAGACCACGGGGGTATGAGCTGGTAGGACCCAGCCGCGAGCCCCAGCCCCTGGGCCCAGGTCCTCGGCCCGCCCACCCTCCCCTGCAAGGTAGCGTCCCTCCGGCCTGTGGCTGCCCCTTGGGGTGGGAGGCCGCACTGGACTTTGTGCCGGCCCTCAGTCTCCCTCGATCATCCTCTGTCCCAGGTGATCCCTCCTTGAGAGTCTACAGCCGGAAGTGGCCTCTTCTGGTCAGTGAGACTCAGGACAGTGTGACTGATTTGCAGTTTGTTTTCTGGAAATTGTGATGTCTGCCACTAAAGATTTCAGTCATTCAAGTAAAAGAAGCAAGAGACTAATCCGTGCTCTTAGGGGTTTTTTCCTTCAGTTTTTCAACCCACGCCGGCCCAAGAACCCAGTCTTAACCTTGAAACGTCGTGGGCCTACAGGTGCAGGAGAGAGCAGCCTTGCTCCACACTGGCTGACGTGGGGCGGCGGCGCCTGGAAGGCAGCCCCTCGGCACACCACTCACTTCGCCCAGCTCGGGCTCCGGCCTGTGGCAGACACGGTGACTCGGGCTGGCGTCCCGGCCGCAGGCTCTGGGCCACTCTGTTGGGCAGTTTTCCTCCTTAGGGGATGTGCCATCTCCTTGGCCTGCCTGGGCCGCACACACCGTGGCCCCGGCTCCGGCCTTGGGGGCAACTGGCGGGAGGCTGGTTCTGGGGCCGCCGCCTTCTCCGCCGAGGTGGGGCTGAGGCTCCCTCAGCCCCAAAGAGCTTTGGTTCACGGGTTAGGTACTGGCACTCGCTGTAGGAGAACAAAGACGTTGCAAAAATACGTATTCGTGCATGTAAAAATAGCCATAACAGGCCCATTCTGTGCTCTATGACAGCATGTTTTTAATGGAAAAGAACTGTTTTCCTTACCAAGAAAGATTTAGTGAAAAGTGGTCATTTCATCAAATCTCTGTAACATCTGCTCACGCCTACTCCTGTCTCTGCCTGGAACCTGCACCGTGCACTACTTGGGAGAGAGCGCAGGCCAGCGGGCAGGTGTCAGGCGGGTGAGCCATGAGCTCGTGATGACAGGAGGCCTCAGCGGGGTGGCCTGGGGCGTCGGCATACAGTGGGTGCTCGGTAAGGCCGGGCTGCTGGATCATCTGAGCAGCAGGACGCATGGTGGGGCTGCACAGAGGCTCAGGGCCTGGCCGAGTGGTGCGCATCCCTGTGTCCCTGCAGCGGGACCCCAGGCCCAGGTGGGGGCCAAGAGGGGCTGCAGGGCCGCGGTGTCACGTGTGGCGGGTGAGCCGGCTGGTGTGGCCACCACCCCACACCCTTCGATGGGCCCGGAGCTCCCTGCCTGCCCTGGGTTCCAGGTTTGGGCCCCTGACGGTGGCAAGGGAGGGCACGGGCTCAGGGCAGCTTCCTCCCACGCCTGGGCCCACAAGAGCAGAAGCCCCCGAGGCGTCCCCTGGCATTGCTCGTCTCCCGGGCCGGCCCGCAGCCTCCACGCCTGCATCTGCCGTGACCCCGCACTCCCTTGTCTCTGCAGGAAGTCTAAAGCCAAGCCCAACGGGAAGAAGCCCGTTGCCGAGGAGAAGAAGGTGTACCTGGAGCCGGAGTACACCAAGTCCAGGATCACCGACTTCGGGTTCAAGGAGCTGGTGGTGCTGCCCCGGGAGATCGACCTCAATGAGTGGCTGGCCAGCAACAGTGCGTGGGGGCGGGCTGGCAGGGCCAGGAGGGCAGCCCCCCGTTTCCCGCAGGACCCCCTGGAGCTGGTGCTCAGCACCCCCTCCCTCCGCAACCACCCGCGTCAGCTGGAAGCCGAGGCCCGGGGTGACCAGCCCTGCCGGGCACTCAGGGTCCCCTCAGATGCGGGGACTCAGTGCAGGTCCTGGTCGCACCTGGGGACAGGACACCAGGGCCAGGGGGGCACCGTGGGACAGGAGCATGGCTGCAAGGCCGGCAGTGCTGTGGTGGCGGGAAGGCCATGGCGGCCTATGGGAAGGGTGGCGGACTCACCCCCGCCTGCCGGACAGGCTCAGGGTTCGTGGGATGCCCCATGCAGGGCAAGGCGCCAGCTCTCCTCCCGAGAGCGGTAGGCTTTGTGGCCATGAGCTGGTGCTGCCACCTGCCTTAGCGGTGTCCCCGATCAGCTGGTGACCATAGAGCAGGGTGTGGTCAAGGGGCTGGGGTGGGAGGCTTGCTGCCCCACCCCTCGTGGAGGGGACTCTGTCTCAGTCTTCGGGCACCCTGCCCAGCTCAGCACCGTCTGGTCCGTGCCGCCCGCTCCCGAGGATGATGCTGCGCTGGGGCCTCGGCCTCTGGTCTGAGATAAGCACCAGCCCCCACAGCAGGGACCCGAGGAGAGGGACTCTGGTCCCCCCGGGCCTGCAGGACGCTGCAGACGCAGAGTGGCGCCCCGGTGTGGTTTTCACGCCCGGCCTTTCTCTTCCCTTCCAGCCACGACGTTCTTCCACCACGTCAACCTCCAGTACAGCACCATCTCAGAGTTCTGCACGGGGGAGGCGTGCCAGACGATGGCCGTGTGCAACACGTGAGTCACTGCCTGGTGCGGCCCTGCCCCGGGGGCTCGGGCAGGCTGTGGCCGTGCCCCCGGCCGCTGCACTCCGTCTTCTCAGACCCCACGCTCGCGGCCTCCGCTCGAGGCCTCCCAGTGGCTCAGTGCCTTCCTCAGCAGGGTCCTCACCAGGCTGCCCCTCCTGTCCTCATGGGCCCAGGGCCTGGCAGGGCGACGGGAAGCAGAGCCCTGCAGAGGTTGGGACCCCGGTGGTGTGGGTCCCTCCGGGGCACGGGTGCTGGGAGCCAGCCAGGGGCTGACAGGATGCATTCCTGGGGGCAAGGGCATTTCCCCAGGACGTGCCCGCTGGGCTTCCTGACACAGCAGGGTGTGTTTCTTTGCTGTGGCTCCTGGCCCTACCGGCTGATGGCTCTAACCCAGAGCTCCTGCTGTGTGTGGAGGCCGGCCCTACCGCACCCCACCCGCTGCTGGTCCATGGGGCTGGGACGCCTTGGTACCTTCCCGTGAGGTGACGTCCTGCAGGCCTGGTGCAGGCTGTTCTCTTTTGGAAGCACGTGCCATTCGTTTCCTCAGTAAGCAGGCATCCCTGAGGGGCTCCAGGGTACCCCACTGCCTCTGTGGCAGCTCTTGGAGGCCACATGGATAGGAGAGCCACCACATGGCCCTGAGCTTGCCACCGGCCCAAGTAGCAGGAGCCACAGAAGAGGCCACAGGCAAGAGGCCAGGTCTGCAGGGGCTCATCCCGGGCGGGGTGTGGCTCGGGGGCACAGAAGCTCCTTTCTGACATCTCCTCTGCAGGCCAGGGGCTGATAGGAGCACATGTGAGCAGCGGGCCTCCACTAGTGGACACGTCAGTGCTGCCGTCCGGAGTTCACCCTGCCTGTAGGCTGCGGGCAGACCCAGCTCAGGCCCAGACATGTGGGCCCTCCTCTTGCTGAGAGCCCACCCAAAGCCTCAGCACAGGCAGAGGGTAGAGTTCCCCCGCCCTTCAGAGGGCACAAGTGCAGAAGACAGCTGCTCTTCACTCCTTACTTACCCAGTGAGACCCATTGATGGTATGCTCAGGTGTCACGTGTGTCCCCAGATAGCCACAGCCAGGCATGGCCCAGGGAGGATGGGGCAGTGTTGGGTGGGCAGTGCTGGGAGCAGGCTTGAGGTGAGCTTGGGGCAGGAGAAGAGCATGGGACAGAGTGGCCTCTGTAGAGCAGACATGGCCACAGCAGCTGGAAGTGGGCAAGGGCAGTGCTGCAGAGCCAAGTGTGTGGCATCCTTGGAGGACGTTTGCCAGCTGTGTGCCTGACCAGGCGGCATCACAGCTGGCCTATGGGCTGGCGAGTGGGGAAGCCGGGGCCCCTCCGCGGCACCACATACCCTTCCAGTATCGATGTGTTTGAGAAGAGGCTCCTTGAAAGAGCATAGGATTTGGTGTCAGGCAGACGTGTGTCTAGATGCTGGCTCTGCCATGTAAAACTTGGAAATCTGGGGATTTTGAGAATTCTACTGTTCATTCTTCTCATCTGTAACCTACTTTGTAGGGTTTTTGTAGATTTATATGAATTGATATGCATATAAATGCTTTCCTAGGAATCATTTGAGATCAAGGAGTGGAAACACATGAATTAGTTTAATAGGAAAAGGGAGGTCTGTCAGGGTCCACAGAGCCACTTGCTCTCCCGGGACCATCCAGTCCACCCGGCGCCTGGCGTGGGGCTGAGGCCCAGGCCAGAGGCCCTCCTCCACCCTGCTGGTGCCTGAAGGACAGAAACCAAAGGGTAATGTTGGAGTCCCAAAAGAAGAGGAGAAAGGGCCATGCCGAAAACATATTTGAAGAAATATGGCTGAAAACTTACCAAGTTTGGTCAAGACACAAGCCTGCAGATTCAGGAAGCTTAATGAACTCCAAGCAGGATAAACCCAGTGAATCCACCGCAAACACATAATCAAACTGCTGAAGAGCATCAGAGCCAGCAGCACTGCACCTGTGGGGATGTGGTGCCGGTGGCTGTGGCTCTCCTTCCCCCCGCTGGGGGCCAGGAGGAGGCTCCATAACATCGTTCAGGTGCTGAAAGGAAAGAGCGGTCCCCCCGGGAGTTCCACGTAACGCTCCTCAAGAATGAAGGTAAAATAGAGACACTTCTCAGAGGAAGGGAGACTAAGAGGGTTGACTCGCAGCCAGCAGAGCTGCGCAGGGAGCTCTTCACACAGGAAGGAAGTGGTGCTAGAAGGGAAGGCGGGACAGCAGGCTTCGCGGAGAGCAAGAGACGGGAGATGTGATGGGCCGCTCCACTCTCCTTCAGCTCTTTAAAGCGTGTCTGGTGGGTGAGCAAAACCCATCACCCTGTCTGATGGGTCTTCAGCGTGTGTGGATGGAACACTGAGACAGTAGTAGTGTCCTGGGGCAGGCAGAGAGCCCTGCCCTGTGTGCTGGTTGGCTCTGTGATTCCACTTGTGGAGGTGATTCTTGGCTCCAGGTACAGCATGGAAAGGTCATATGCGTTTTATAATCCTTTGAGCAATCTCTTAAAAAAGTTACATAAGTGACATAGTCAAAATCATAATAGATAAATTAAAAGGAAATACTAAAAATAACGCAAAAGAAGGCAGGAAATATAAGGAGTGAAAACAAAGGGAACAAAGAGTAAACGATGGTAAACTTAAATTCAGACAGATACAGTGAATGTCAGTGGTGTGAACGTGCCGGTGACAAGACAGATCATAAGAATGGATTTCAGTGTACACAAGAAATTCACTTTTTTTTTTTTTTTTTACCGTGCCACGTGGCATGTGGGATCTTAGTTCCCCGACCAGGGGTTTGAACCTGTGCCCTCTGCAGTGGAAGCGTGGAGTCTTAACCACTGGACCGCCAGGGAAGTCCCAAGAAATTCACTTTAAATGCAATGACATTGGTAGGTTAAAAGTGAAAGGATGCGAAAATATATACCAACAAAGATATACCAAATCAGAAGAAAACTAAAGTGGCTATGTTAATACCAAAGTAAACTTCAGAGCAAAAAATAACTAGGGATAAAGAAGAAGATTGAGTTATTTACAAAAGAGTCAATTCATCAAGAAGTACTGACCTTGAATGTGTATGTACCAAACAACAGAGCTTTTACACAAAGCAAATGGACAGAACCAAAGGGAGAAACACACAAAATCACATTATGGTTGGAGATTTCAACATTCCTCTCTTGGTAGTAGACGGAACTAGTAGGCAGAAAGTCAGCAAGAATCTGGAACTAACAACACCATCAGCCAACTGGACTGAATTGACATTTACACAACACTCCACCCTCGGCAGTAAAATGCACGTCCCTTTCAAGTGCACTGGGATTATTCATCAAAATAGTGTAGATCATATCCTGGCTCACAAAACAGACCTTAGCAAACTTTAAAGAATCAGAGTGATACAGAGCAAGTTTTCTGACCATAATTACATTAGAAATCAATAAGAGGACAAATCTCCAAACATTTAGAAATTAACATACTTTTAAATAGTCCATGGGTCAGAGGGGAAGTCTCAAGGGAAATTAGGAAATGTTTTAAACTGAACTCAAATGAGAACGCAACATATCTGAACTTGTGGAGTGCAGCTAAAGCAAGGGTTAGAGGAAAGTTTATAGGATTAAACCACTTGTTTTAGAAGAAGATCTCAATTCAATCTAAGCTTCCATATTAAGAACCTAGAAAAAAGAAGAGCAAAAAAAAAAAAAAAAACCCTAAATTGAGCAGAAGGAAAGAAATGGTAAAATAAGAACAGAAATCACTGACGTTGATTTCTGCAAACAGTGGGAAAAGTTCATGAAACCGTAAGCTGACTCCTGAAAGGATTGGTGAGATTGAGGACCTTTAGTAACACCAACAAAGGTAAAGAGAGAAAAGGTCCAGATGATCCATATAAGGAATGGAAAGAGGAAATGATGATAAACCCAGGAGATAATAAAGAAACATCACAAAAATCTCTGCATACATTAAATTTGACAGTTTAGATTAAATGGACCAATTCCTTGGAAAGCACAAAATATCACAATTTACCCAAGATGGGTAATGCAGTAAGGCAAGAAAAAGAAATAAGAGTCTTTAAAATTGGAGAAGAAGAAAATAAAAGTGTATTCGCATACAACATGATTGTCTATGTAGGAAAAAAAAAAACCCCAAGGATTCTAGCAAAAAGTCGAATGAATACATTTAGCAAGGTCAGCACACAAAAATCAATCATAGTTTGTATACTGGCAGTGTACAATTGGAACACGAAATTGATAAGATTATATCATTTACAGTAGCTCCAAACACGATGAAATACTTAGGTACAGACTTAAGGAAACATGCACAGGATCTTTATGCTGGAAACTACAAAATGCCGATGAATGGAATCAAAGACTGGCGTAAATGGAGAGACGTACTGTGTTCATGGATGGGAAGACTCAACACACCAGAAGTGTAAATTCATTTATTGCAATCTCAGTTAAGATCCTAGCAGAGTTTTCATTGATATAAACAAGCTGATTCTAAAATTTATATGGAATAGCAAAGTCACTGGAATAGCTACAATGATTTTTGAAAAAAGGACAGTCAAGTTGGAAGAGTCCCACAGCCTATTTTGAAGATTTACTATAAAACTGTGGTAATCAGGACAGCATGGTGGTGGTGAAGGAAGAGACACAGAGATCAGTGCAACAGAATAGAGTCCAGAAATGGACCCCCACAAACATGGGCCCTTGATGTTTGACAGATACAAAAGGAATTCAGTGGAGAAAGGACAGACTTTTCAACCAGAGCTGTTGGAAAAACGAGTCATCTGCATGTCCTCTTCTGCCAGAATTAACTTGAAGTGAATTCTAGATATAAAACATGAAACTTTTAGAAGAAAACACAGGAGGAAACCTTCGTGATAGTGTTAGGCGAAGAGTTCTTGGTCGTTGACACGAGCCACAGTCCATAGGCGAGAAAGAATCCGTAAACTGGGCTTCATCAAAATTTAGAACTTTTGCTCTGAGAAAGACACTGTTAGGAGAAAGGGAAGACAGACTGCAGAATAATCCCATATCCGAGAAAGGACTAGTGCATGGAATGGATAAAGAGCCCTCACAGCTCATCAGTAAGAAAATCTGGTCACAAGTGGACAAAGGACTTGGACAGATCATGGAAGAGGACCCAAGCAGGGCAGGTGAGTACCTGCGAGGCTCTGCCTCATGAGCAGGTGGAGAAATATGAATTCAGACCACGCTGCAGGAGCGCCTGATAAAACGCGCCGGGTGCCGGCGAGGATGGAGGGCGTCCCGGCAGGATAGCCGCTCCGAGAACGTGTTGATGGTTTCTCAGGAAACAAGGCGTTCACCTACCGTGGGCCCAGCTGTCCCACTCCTGGGCGTCCACACTGGAGAAACGAGAACTAGTGCTCATACAAACACCTGCCTGGGAGGGTTTTAACAGCCTGACCCGTAATTGCCCCAAACAGGAGGCCACACACGTGTCCTTCGGCAGGTGAATGTCTGGACAGACTGGCGCGTCCACAAGGTGTCCATCTCAGTGGCATGGATCGCAGAGCCCGGCCCAGGACATCGTGTGGCGTTCCTGAGGACACGTCACTAGTGTGCTGGGGACTGACCAGCAGGCCGGGGGCCAGGGTGGGAGCTGTGCCCCGTTGTGGGTCCTCTATTTGGGTTAAAATGCATAAGACTGCATGCCCAAACCAGTCAGCTTTACTGTGTGACAGTTCAAAAATAAAATGAAAACGAAGAAGAGGAACGTTGAAAGCAGAGTGTTGCAGCTGTCACGCAGGCGGGGCGACCACAGTGCCCCGAAGGGGCTGGTCTCTCCGGGCCTGACATCATGAAAACGTTTCCCATTTTCTAGCTCCGGTGTTTTTTTCTGAGTGTGGCACCCGGGGCCAGTCGCATCCAGCACCAAGCAGGGTGGGGAATCGCTGGGGCCGGTGTCTGACCTCTGGCTGGGGCCCCTCCCAAGCTGGTCCGGGGACCCCAGGGGCTGTTGTGAGGAGAGGGACGATTCATTTGTCCTTTCACTGAGCATGTCCTCAGATGGTGCCGATGTCCGGGCAGGGGAAGGACGGTCAGCAGGGCCACCCTGTGGTGGGGAGGGCTCTGGATCCCTGCTGGGGGCCGGCAGGGAGCTTGGCAAGCTTCTTGGGGCTTTGTCTGACCAGCTCGGGGGCCTGGTGGGGCAGCCTGGTCTCCCTGCGGGGCCAGCAGTGCCTAGGGGCAGCCTGGGAGCAGGCGTGGCAGGGAGGGCTCTGCTGAGGTGGCACTGCAAGTGTAGTCTGCCTGCTAGTGGGTGGGGTGGGGCTGGGTGGGAGGGGCAGGGGCGGCAGTGGGCGGGGCCTGATACCCAGTGGCAGTCAGGGCTGTGTCCCCTTGTCCACTGAAGGTTGGCCTTTTTCCTGGTGGCCTGTCCATTTGTGTGTGGGCTGTTTTCCCTGTGTTGTAGCCTGACCCCCACCCAGCCCTGCCAGGGGCACAAATAAGCTAACCGGCCCTGGGGGCGGGGAAGAGCCTTGGTTCCTGCTAGAGGCAGTGGGGGGCAGGGGCGCGGCAGGCAGCAGGGCTGCCTTGAGGTCACGTGGGCAGGCCGTGCCTTTTTATTTTGGCTGGAGTCAGGCTGGCCACGAGAGATGGGGACCTGCTGTCCTGACGACAGGTCTGGCAAGGTGGTGGAGGTGGATGAGCCCACGTGGCTGTCAGCCAGGGGAAATCAGGGCAGGGTGCTCAGAGCCAGCCTGGGGTGCTGGCCTGGGATAAGGTGGGATGGTGAGGTGTTGGGGGAACCTGGTCTAAGCCAGTTCTGAAGCCAAGTAACGTCATCTAAATGGGGGCGGGGATGCCGGGCGGAGGTCTCCATGAAGACCTGCTGGCTGGGGCAGGGGTGTGGCAGGGTTGGCGGCTAGGCCACGGAAGGGGGTGCTCTGGTCACTTGCTCGCTCACTGACAGATGCAGCCTGTGTCCCCCCAGCCCCCCTGTGGGCTCTGGTGCAGCTCTTGGCGAGCCAGACTTAAGGTACAGGGCCTGCTGTTGGGAAGACTGGAGCCCTTGGTGGGAGGGATGCTGGTGGCTGCAGGGGGAGCCCACCAGGGGTTTGTGTTTGTTCTGCTGGAGGATAGGTCATGTTTACATGAGCTAGGAGACGCGCTCGGTTTCACGGCTGGGCTTACGCAGTGAGAAGAAAACCCAGGTGTCCACACCCCGAACACCCTGGCCCAATCCAGCCTGAGGACTGTCTGCCCTACACCCACCCCCGTGTACGGGGCAGGTTGAGGTCTTTGGGGGGCATCCAGGGGCCAGATTCCCATGTACAGAGGCCTCCTCACCACCCGGCCCAGGGCAAAGGTTTGGCCTCTATTGGTGGCAGCAGGGATGCTACTGAGGCTCGAGGCCCAGCTGACAAGTCACAGCAGGGCCTCCGGGAAGGGATAGGCACAGAGCGTGGGTACCTCTAAAATAATGTGTAAAACAACACGCGTTCCTTTGAGAGAATGAAGCCTGAGGCCACGTGTAGAGCAGAAGGTGCGCGTTGGTTTCCTGATGCTGTGTGCACAGCCAGCTCTCCTGGCCGCGGGCGTCACCGCCCCCCTCTGTCCCCACAGACAGTACTACTGGTATGATGAGCGGGGCAAGAAGGTGAAGTGCACGGCCCCCCAGTACGTCGACTTTGTCATGAGCTCCGTGCAGAAGCTGGTGACCGACGAGGACGTGTTCCCCACAAAATACGGTGCGTGGCCCCTCCCACCCCAGGCTCTGGGACCTGCGGCCTCCACTACCCCGCCTCCCCCCATGGCCGGGCCCTCGAGGTCCCCTTGCCGGGGAGGGGGGGGCTTGCAGCTGTCGAGCAGCACCCACGGCTGTGTACAGCCCTGAGCAGGCCCGGCGGGGTCCCAGACCCACCCTGAGCTGCCGAGGGCAGCACCTGGCCGACAGGAGGTGCCTGTCTCCCGGGTCCCCCCTCCTCTGCGGCCCAGGCCACAGAGAGCGCCCTGGGCGCCTGTCCCGGCTTTAGGCCATGCGCGGCGGGGTCCCGGGCCCCTCGTCACAGAGGCACCCAGTACAGCTCGGCGAGCAGCCACCCTCGCGGCCCCGCCCCGGGTGCTGGGTCACTCAGGTGTTGCGGTGGGCGGCTCCGTGAGGGCTGCGGGGTCGGGGGGCGGCGCCGTGGGGCCAGGGCGGGCTGACGGCCCCCTCCCCGCAGGCCGCGAGTTCCCCAGCTCCTTTGAGTCCCTGGTGAAGAAGATCTGCAAGTACCTGTTCCACGTGCTGGCGCACATCTACTCGTCGCACTTCAAGGAGACCCTGGCGCTCGAGCTGCACGGACACTTGAACACGCTCTACGTGCATTTCATCCTCTTCGCCCGCGAGTTCAACCTGCTCGACCCCAAAGAGACGGCGGTCATGGACGACCTGACGGAGGTGCTGTGCGGCGGCGGCGGGGGCCGCGGGGGCGGGGACGGGGCGGGCGGGGCGGCGGGCGCACAGAACCACGTGAAGGAGAGGTGAGCCCGGCCGCCCGCGTGCGGAGAGGCGGCGCGCGGAGTGTGGGCGCGGGCGCTCTGCGCCGCCGGCACCGAGGACTTTGGGACTCCGCTCGTCTGCTCAGCAGACACTTAGGGACTGCCCCCGTCCAAGTCCCCTTCTGTGGGTCCGTCTCTCCCGGTCTTCTGCGCCTGCCCCGCCACCCGGCTCGGCCTCCGGGGAGACACGCGACAGGCAGGGCTCCTTCCCCCGAGGTGGGGACCGCAGGCTTCGCTTCCACCGTGTTTCGTCTTGGTTAGGGCTGGGGGTGGCCTTCTCCTTCTCTCTCCCGCTTGGTCTGGACCTCGGCTGTTGGTGGCTCAGGGCGGGTGGGGAGGGGGAGGCCGCAGAGCACCGAGCTGCGGCCCTGTCTCCCTGCGCTGCCCCCGCTGCCCAGGAGGGGCCCCCTGGGCTGGCTGGCTCGGATCCCGGTGCCCTGGCGGGCGGCTTGTGCGGAGACGCGGCCGGGGGCAGGGGGAGAGCCTGGCTTCCCTGTGCGGGTGTAATAAAAAGACTTCTCTCAGGTCAGCGCCTGCGTGTGTCCTCAGCGTCTCGGTGCCCTCTGGTCTGGCCACACTCCCCTCTCCTCTGCCCTCCCCCGCCCCTCTGCGCCCCTGGGGCAGTGCCCTCCCCTGCAGCCCGGGCGGTGGAGCCCTCTCACTGACCAAGGCTGTGCTGGCCAGGGGCAGGTGCCACCCTTCCTGCAGGGGCCGACCACAGGCTCCCCTGCTGAACGTGTCTGCGCGGGACGGGGGCCGTGCTTTGTGTCTCGAGTCTCCAGGGGCCCTTGACCACTCACTCCCTGTGCTGTGCCCTCTCCACGCAGGTGGCAGGGACCCTAGAGTGTGGGCTGGAGTCGGCTGGGGGTGCTTCCCAGCCAGCCCGCCCGTCCCAGGGGCTCTGCTGCAGGGACCACCTCTGGACAGGGCAGCACTGCCTGAGGGGTGGGCATAGGGAGAGCTCGAGAGAGGGGTGTGTGCCTGCAGCGCAGGCTGGGCAGGGTGGCCATGGCGCGAACAACCCTGGAGCTTGTCCAGCCCCCTGTGGGCGGAGGTGAGGGGCTTCTGTAGGGCCCTGTCCCCCGACCCTGTACCTTGCATCTTATGCCTGTTCTACCGTTGTATTTTGGAAGTAGGTAACTTTCCTAGGTCCACAGGTTCAACATGGAAAGGAATTTTGTGCTAGGATGGATCAAAGTCTCACTTTTACCTGATTCAGATGATTTAGATGAGATTTGGGGTTTGACTTGAAACCATAATGGGTTGAGACTTTTGGAGACCTCAGGAACGGGCGGTGTTTTACACGTGAGGTAGATGTGGGACTTGCTAGAGGGCAGTCTGCGGTAAGCAGAAAAATGCGCACCTCCCCCCGCCAAAAGAAAGAGTCCACAGCCTAATGCCTGGAAACTGTCAACATGTTACCTTCCATAGCAAAGGGGGCGTGAAGCTGCAGGTGGAAGTAAGGTTGCTAATCGTCTGAACTTGAGATGGAGAGATTACCTGGGCCCAGTATAATCACAAGATTCCTCAAAACTGGGAGGGGGCGGCAGGAGAGGGAGAAGCAGAGAGATGGCAGGGTGAGAAGGGCTCATCTGATGTTGCTGGCTTTGAAGACCGAGGAAGGGGCTGCGAGCCAGGGGCGCAGGCGGCCTCAAGAAGCTGGAAAAGACAAGGAAATGGATTTCCCCAGGGCCTCCAGGAGGAGCGCAGCCCTGCCAGCACCTTGATTGTAGCCAGTGAGACCCATTTCAGTGAGACCCAGTTCTCGACCTCCAGAGATCTTAAGATGGCACATTTGTGTGGTTTTAAGCCACTTGGTTTTTGGTAACTTGTTACAGCAGCAATAGGAGACTCATACATCTGTGAGACGGGCCATTGAACTCTCACAGGGTCATTTTGAGGGCCCACAGAGATGACCCACTTCACCCAGGGCCTGACTCCAAGGATGAGTGTGACAGACGGCAGTGCTTGGGCTTGTGACTAACAGCATAGACCCCGCAATCCCACCTGAGGCCCCGAGGCGGCACTTGGCTCCCCTCCCTCGTGTGTGTCTGTCTCTGCTGCCCTCCTCCTCCGCAGACGTCCCTGCCTGGAGCTCACACAGGTTTTCTCTCCTCCTGGTCCCGGCCACTGTCTGCTCCCTGCCAGAACCCCCACCCCTCGCTGAGTCACACCGAGGACCTGGGCTGGTGGTGGGGAGCGGCGTGGGCCCAGGAAAGGCGAAGTGTGACGGGGGAGTGGAGTGGACTTGGTGGCCGGGGGTGAGGGCAGGAGGAGTGGGCACTGAAGCCCGGGGAGAGGGGCGGGCAGGATGAGGCCAGCCCACCTCCAGTAGCGCGCTCCCTGGAGCAGCCTCATGACGCCAGGAATCGCTCCATCTCACAGCCGAGGAGCCTGGGGCCCTCTGCCCCAGCTGTCCACTGAGAGCGTGGACAGAGTCTAGGGCGGGCTCCTGGCAGAGCGGAATGAGGGCTGGGCCTCTGCTTACACACCCCCTCCCTCGTGTGTGCCCCCGCCCACTCTGCCTCTGCCACCCGGTAGCACTCAGAGCCCCTGCGGGGACACGGGTCAGACTGTCTCCCCCCACCCCCATCCATGATTGCTTTGGCGAGCACACCACGTTGTTTGTTCACCAGGAACCCAGCTCCCAGGCCAGTCGGGCTGGCTACCTGAGAGTGGGGCCTGAGAAGTCATCCTCTCACCGCCATATCCTTTTTGTTTTTCACAAGTACCCATTTAAGTGTCTACTTCATAGAAATGGTGTGAGGGCCATTCGGCTTAATGCCCAGCGTAAAGTGCTCAGAAGGTATCTGGCACGTGGCGAGTCCTCATGTGCTGGGTTTTATTTTATATTTTAGTAAGTATGTGACACTAACAGTTTTTGAGCCTGCTTTGGTTCAGAAGTGGGATCGCAGGAAAGTGGCCCCTTCCCCCTAAAGGAGTGCGGTGGTGGGCATACGGAAAGCTGGCCGTCTGCTGGGTGTACTGTGGTATTTCCCTTTGGGGACTCCATCGTGTGCCCGCTGAGGTTGACACATCAGACTGCAAACGTTGAGAGGGCCAAGTGGGAGAAGAGGAGGAGGCCTGTGTGTGTCAGCGGCTCTTTCAGTAAAGCACATGCAGAACCACAGGTCAAGGAACCCTGGTGGCTTGGCCAGGAGCCACGTAACCATGTTCCCTGCCGAGACGTAGCAACCAAACCCCCTCCTTCAACTTGGCTTTTAAGCTAAAGTTAATGGGACACCATGCAGTCCAGAGACAGCAACAGGACCTGGTCCCAGAGTACCTTCTGAGGCCTCCCTCAAAGGTGGAGTGCTGTGTCCGGGGCTGGGCAAAAGAGGGCCCCAGCTCCATGTCAGCAGACCCTCATTCGTGTCCTGGGCCTTGTGCCCTTCCAGCAGAGCTCCTGAGCTCACGACTAAGCCAGTGAAGCATGGCACGCTCCTGGCGCTCTCCAGCAAGGGGGGTGTAGGAGGCAAGAGCACGAACTCTTTAGGGCTGATCTGTCCGCCCTCAGGGACGGATGGCAAGGGTGGAAACAGTTTGTCACGTGAGGCTGGGAGGCTGCTACCGGCATCTAGTGGGTAGAGGCCATGGATGACGCTGACATTCTGCGACGGGCAGGACGGTCCCCACCACAGAGAACCACGCAGCCCCAAGGTCGGTAGTGCTGCGGTGGTGTAGACGGCTGGGTGCAGAGTGGCCAGGCCACACCTGATCCCCTCCACGCGTGGGGGAGGAGGTGCACGCGTGAGAGGCTGGGGGAGGCCTCCGAGAGCGCTGTGGTCTCTGCTGGGACCCCCCGTCGGGCTGCTGCTCGTCCCTCCTCAGGGCCGCGTGGTGACCGCCCTCAAGACGTGCGGCTGGGTGGTCCGTGGCACTCGGGAGGCTGGACCTGTCCTTCACGCTGCAGCGGCAGAGGGGATGGCTCCCTGGTGCGTGGTCATGGTGCCTCCGTCCCTGGCTGGCGGGCGTGGTGGGCACGGCTGGGACCGCACTGCCCTGCCAGCCGCCGTCTCCAGGGCCTGCCCGCCAGCCTTGGCTCATCACTTGCGGGGCTGGGCCACGCTCCCCATGTGCCTCTTCCCATGGAAGGAGTGGAAAGAAGGCTCATCCTCCAGGAAGAAGCCCAGGTGCTGGCCTCGGGCTGAGGTCTCGGGGTGGCAGCAGAGCTGCAGTGGCCGGGCAGGGGGCCGTACTCGCCAGGCACCCCATCCCCAGCAGAGCTCCGTGTCAGCCTCTGGTGGTGCTTCCCTGTGCTCTCTGCTTCCCACCTGGCCCAGCCCGTGTGATGCCCGCGCAGACCCGCGGCACAGGGCCTGTCCTCTGGCTGGGGCGGAAGTAGCACCACGCACACCTGGCAGGGTGGTCCCAGATCGCTACCCGCCCGCCTGCCCACCCGCCCGCCCGCATGGAGACCGGCGTGGGTGTCTTTGCTGAAGGAATTTATTGTTCGGAACTAACGTTGCTCACAGTTACTTGACAGGGGATACACGGGGTGGGGCTTGTCCGTTTCCGTGACGCCTGTGTGTGTCCCGAGTACAAAAGAGGAAGGCTAACGAGAGGTATTGCTTTCTGGTCCTCCGCTTGTACCGCGGCTTTTGCTGTTAGAGGTGTTTCATTTTTTGTTATGTATTGAAATCCCAGCCTGTGGTAGGGGGTCAATGGAACAGAAGCATTAAAATCTATGCACGACGGGAGAGGCAGCAGGGCGGGCAGGAGAGACGCCAGATGCGAAGTGGACTTGTCCCAGCGAGGGCGCAGCCACACGTGCCTCACGGCCCCTCCGGGAACAGAGAGCACGCTGCCGAGGACGCCGCTACCGTTCTCTCTGTCCTTTGTTGCTTTTTGTTTTGTTTTGTTTTTAACTTTTTTTGTCATTTTAGTAAAAAAAAAAAAAACAACCCTGCAGTGGCCCTGCCATCTTGCATGTGGTGTATAGGCGGCCGGCTCGGGCCTTCCTCCCACCCCGCACTCGGACACAAAACCAAGATGGCCCCCAGCCCGGGCCTGGCGGAGGGGCCCTGGCCGTGCCCGGCCCCCATAGGACTGGAGTCGCTTCTCCACGGTAACGGCACAGAACCGGGGACGGAGCGAACCGTGCCGTTCTCTAAATATATTTATATGCGTGTGTATAGTAAGAACCGGACTCAAAGCCTAGCCCTGCCCCGCGGTCCCCCCCCACCCCCCGCCAACACCCTTCTCCAAAAACAACCAAGAAAAAAAGTTTATAAAAATATCTTGCAGGAATTCTTTAAAGTTTACAGTAGCTTGCCGGCGCTGCATCGGCCGGCTGCCCCCGCGGCCCCAGCACCCCGACCGCTCTGTCCACGGGGCACCTTGGCCCAGACCCCACCCTGCCCAAGACACACACACAGACAGACGGCAGGACGGCGCTGCTGCTGCCCCTTCCCTGAACGGAGAAGTAAAGAAACTCAATAAGTTAAAACAGCAAGTAAATAATACTGATCTCGGCCTGCCCTGGGGCGGGCGGGTGGGCGGGTGGGCAGGTGCTGCGGGGCCCCCGGGGTTTCTTTCCACCTGCAGCCCCCGGGGAGCTGGGGGGTGGGATGCGGCGAGGCAGGTGGGCGGCGCTGAGGTGCATGGACGTGGACGAGGAGGGAGCAGCAGGGAGGGGACGTGCCGAGGAGAGGCCGTGCCGGCCGGGCCAGACGGCTGCTTCACCCCCTTGGGCCTGCCCCGGAGGCCGGCCGGACCCGCCGGGGGCACTGGTCACTGCGCGTCCAGTCGGGTGGGCCCGAGGCGGCCTCCCGTCGGGGCCGGGTCCTCCTCGCCGTGGCCATGCGGAGCTGAAACTGGGCAGAGCTGGCGGGCGGGCAGGGCCTCACTGCCCAGTGGGCGGCAGCAGCAGGAGAGGAGAGAGGGCAGGTCCACGGCAGCTGCCTTCGGTCAGCCGGTGTCCGGTGCAGAGCACGGAGGACGGCCTCGTGGAGATGACATGTTAACTTTTCGGGATAATTCCTGGTATCAGAGCGGAAACAGTGGCGTTGTCAGAGACAGGCAGGGAGAGAGACAGCGAGAGAAAGAGAGAGCGGGCGCGGGTGGCCCAGACGCGGCTGTGGCCCCCGGTGCCCCCTTTCCTTTCCTCCCCGGCTTCACAACAGTCTAGACGGACAGACGGACGCGGCCCCGGGTCCACACCGGGCGGGCGAGCGGGCGGCGAGGCGGCCTGGGGGCCACTGTCGGGGCCGTGCAGGGGGAGGGGGCTATGTGTCTAAGGCTGCTCTCGGCGGGCGGCGGGCAGCCCCGTCCTGGCCGTGTCCTTGCCCGCTGGGTACTCGGCGTCCCCTCCAGGGCCGGGGCCAGCGGCCGCGGAGTCCCCGAGTGGGCCGTGGGCACTCCGCTTGGCGGGCGTGCTGGGGGCCTGGGCCGCCTGCCCGTTCTTCTCGTCTGAAAAAAGTTGTTTAATTACGTCAAAGAAGTTACTCAATGGGCTGCCTGGGTGCACAGAACAGAAGACAAAAGAAAAAAAGGAGAGAAAAGGGGGGAGGGAGGGAAGAGAGAGAACAACAGACGAATGAACGAAAGGCCCGTGAGGGGGTCCGAGCGGGTGAGCGGGGCCGCGGCAGCAAGCAGGGCAGGCGGCCGGTGGGGGCTCGAGGCCTCTGGGCTGCGGGGCGGAAGCTGGGGCCAGTGGGCACCTTCCTCCCTCGCCAGGCCTCCCGAAGGACCGGCCCTCCCTCCACCTCAGCCTCGGCCTCCCAGTCAGCCCCGCAGCCTGGCCAGCGGGCCGGCCCAGCTCTGGAGACGGACGCGTAAAGGCCGGGGCCGAGCAGGACCCTGGGGCTGGCGGCCGGGGAGGCTGGGGCCAGCGGGCCTGCCACACTCCTCCCAGGAGGCCTGGAGCCCAGCCCCCAGCCAGCCCGGGTGGCACAGCGTGGACACAGAGGTCAGCAGTGGACAGACGGACGGATGGGTGGGTGGACAGGCATGGAGCTGGGGTGTAGGGGGGCTGGGCAGGCAGCCACAGTGGGGGCCCTGGTCCCAGAGGGCATGTCTGGAGGGCAAGAAGGACGGGGCAGAAGCGGGGCCCCGCCCCACCCGGGGGCCTGTGCTCACGGTCCAGGTGCGCGACTGGGGTCACCTCAGTTCTACCTCCTACCTCCTAAACCTGGCCCCCACCTGAGCAGGAACGGGCAGGGCCCTCTCCCCGCCAGCTGCGGCAGGGCGAGCGGCCGGCGCACCTGCGGCCAGGCAGCTCAGGGCCTGGGCAGGAGCCGCTCCCCGCCCCCCTCCAGTGGGCAGAGAGGGCATGACGCCAGCCTCCGGCCCAAGGACTAGGGGCCACCCTGACCCCCGGCCAGGGCCCAGACGTGGGACCCTTGCTGGCCTTGGGGCTTGGGCCCCCTTTCCTGCTGAGCCTTGGGGTCCCTCCGTGGCCTGCCCTGATCCTAGGGCCAGGCCTGTGCCCGCCCTGGAGGGTGACTGAGGCTGCCTGTGGCAGGGGCTGGGGGGCTGGGCACGGCTGGGTGCCGTGGGGGCCAGCGAGGCCACGTGTGCATGTCCAGGCCCCTCGTGTACACAGGGATCCCAGGACAGCCCCGGGGGGTGGCGGGGCAGCACCCAGCCAGGAGCAGGCTGCAGGGAGTGAGCGGTGGGGGTGACAGGCTGGGGGGGCCCAGGTGAGCGTGAGGGGTTCTTACCACATTTGGAAAGCCTCCCCGTCATCATTTCCATACAGTTAGTGGTGTCTGGAGCACAGAACGGAGAGAGGGGGGAGGGAGACGTGTGAAAAAGGCTTCCAGCTCAGACCTCAAGCTGGATGCTGCCTGCTGCCTGCTGCCTGCAGCCTCGGGCCAGGCCCTGGGGGAGGGGGCGGAGCCTGGAGTGGGGTTGAGGGGCTGGGGCCAAGGGGTGGGGCTCAGGTGGGTAGAGCCTGCAGTGGGCGGCTCAGAGAGGAGGGGCTCAGCAGAGGGCCAGCCTGGAGTGGGGCCCCTCTCCTGGGCAGTGGAGCGTCCTGCCTGGCCCGCCCTCCCTTCTGTCCTCTGGGCCCAGGACACACGCCTTGGAGCCGAGAGGGCCAGGTCCCCGGCTGCGGTCTACACTGCCACCTCCGTGTCCTCACCCTGGCTCTCTGTGGCTCCCGTGGCCGCAAGGCTCCCACTCGCCCCTCAACTCACCGTGGCACACCCTCTCCCCTCTCTGCTGGGCTTGGCAGTGTCAGGGCTGGGGGTAGGGAACGCAGCAGAGCCTGGGGTGGAGAGCGGCTGCCTCACGGCCCTCACTGGGGCCTCCCCTCCCTGGGCTGGGTTTGGAGTGGCCACCAGATCTCTTAGCCTGGTGCCCGAGGGGCCCCCGCTTCTGCCCCCTCCTCCAGTGGCTCTAGGACTGAGCTTGCTGGACAAGTGTCCAGTATGGGGGGGAGGGTGTTGGGAAAGGCTGACCCCTCGGGGAGGCCTGGGGACGGGGCCAAGGGATGGGCTGGGGTCCCGGAGTGGGCTCCCCAGGCCCAGGGCTCCCTGAAGGAAGGCAGGGGAGATGGGCTTGGCCCAGGGCAGGCACCCAACAGTCTCCAGGGACGTGGGTTTGGGCCCAGGGCTAAAACGGGGATGGGGCCCTGCAGAAGGGCCGTGCCCGCCCTGCTTACTGCTGGGCCTGGGACCTAGAGCAGGGCACGTTCGCCGACAGACAGAATGGTATCCCTTAGGGTGGGACTCTGCCTGGCCAGGAGCAAAGAGGGACCGTGGCGCTGGGCGGGGTGGGTGCTGTCCCCTGGGCGGCACACCAGGCCCCTTGCTTGCCTCCCTGGACAAGCTCTGTCCTTCCCCAGCCTCGGTTTCCCCCTCTGAGCACTGCTCTGCTCCGACGTGGAGGCCTTAAAGGCACCGGCCCCCGGGCCAGCCTGGCTCCCAGGGCCAGGGTGTCGGGGCCCCTCCAGCCCCAACCCACCAATAGGGCAGTGAGGCACACGCTGGGGGAGAAAAGGGGGGCAGGTGAAACACAGACGATGGAATGAGGATGGCAGGGGCGGGTGGACGGTGGGGCAGGTCTGGCCTCTAGGACCCTACACAGAAGCACAGACGGCTGGCCACGGGGGGCTCTGAGAGGTGGGGCTGGGCTGGACCCTGTGCTCCCCAGACCCCACACCCCGACACAGGCCTCGTGGTGAGCTGCCAGCTCCCGCTGAGCGCACGCGCGCTGCTCGCCCTCCCTAACAGCTCATGCACGTGCCCCCGGGGCTCACCCGCACCCACAGGGCTGCAGCCGCTCCCCGCCAGGTGCCGAGCGGCACAGACCCTCAGGCTCCCGGGCCCCTGGCGCCTGCAGGCCTGGGCAGCCCCATTCCTGTGTGGCCCCCTCTAGGCCCAGCTGGGGAGCCCCTGCTTTGACTGGACCTCAGGGCCCCTGTGTCCTGCCCGCCACGGGGAGGGTGGGTGGCGGACAGCCCCTCACATGCCAGCCAGTGTGGGCACCAGGCCCACAGCCCTGGAGAGTGCTACGTGGGGGACCCTTGAGGGCGGCAGGGCTCCCAGCAGCACCTTGGTCACTGCTCTGCCGGAGCCTGCTCTCGCTGGCCTGGGGCCAGGCTGCCCCTGTGTCCAGCCGTTCGGCTGGGTGCTGGGCCTGCGGGGCCTGTCCAGGGCCGGGAGGTGGCCGCTGGACACATGGGTGGGCACAGGGTGCCTCCTCGGGGCCAGTCTGGCTCTCGCAGAGGACCTGCCCGCAGCCCCTCCCTGCCCCAGCGGCGGGGCTGGACACCTTACCTGCCAGCGTCAGAGGCTACTCTCGTAGCTGGTGGCCACCTTCTGGCCCTTAAGCCCAGCACCCCAGCTTAGTCCCGGAGCTGGCGGGGGGGGGTCTACAGTGGACAAGAGGCGCCTTTCAGTGTGGCGTGCTGGGCCTACCCCCCTGGTGTGCAGAGACGGCCGGCCACTGTGCCGGGAGGGCCCTGCTCCCGGGGGTGCACGCGGAGGGGCCACACCCCATCGCCAGCCCTCAGGGCGGCCCGAGCTGAGCCCCTCCCTCACCTGACAAGTGCTGGGCAGAAGGCTGCTCATGTGTGCCCAGCAGCTGGGTCTGAATGGTCTCCACGACCCTCTTGAAGCGGCGGCTCGGGCCTGGGGGAGGTGGGGGGTGGGTGAGGCAGGGGCAGGGCTGGCCCGGAGCCCCGCCCCCGGGAGCCCCCGCCCTCGGCCTCTGCCAGCAGCTCACCTGACAGGAGCGTGAACGTGACGGAGTAGACGCCGTTCTCCTTCTGCGCCGCCCCGCCCTCGGTGTAGGTGATGTCCACCTGGAACTTGACCGGCTTCTGGAACACCGCCGGGCCCCCCGTTGCCTTGTGCTCGGCCCGGAAGCTCGTCTGGGAGATGACGCTGTGGCTGAGGCTGGGGATCTGCGGGCAGTGGGTGGCGTGAGCGCGGCCTCGTCTGGAGTCGCCAGAGGAAACCCCAGAGGAGAGGGAGCCGGCCGCCGCCCGAGGCCCCAGCAGCACTGGCTCCCCAAGAGCCTCAGCCAGACGGAGCTCCGCACGGGTCGCAGATGGGTCGCGACACGGCAGCAGAGCAGGGCTCTAAGGGGCGGGCGGGGAGGCCAGTGGGCAGCTGGAGGCCCCGCAGGCGGCAGCGAAGCCTGGGGTTAGAGCCCGTGCCCCGTATTGAGACAGAGCCCCCGGGGTTAAGGCCCCCGGCACCGCTGACAACAGCGCCCGCCGCTCTGCTGGCTCCGGGGTCTGTGGCCCCGGGCGCAGGCGAGGGGCCTCTGCGTGATTGGGCTGCGCAGCGGCCAGGGAAATGTCCGGCAAAACAAACCCAGGAGGCGGTCTTGCCTCAGAGGGGTCGCCCCCAGGACAGGGCTCTGTTGCTTGGGAGAGCACAGTGCTGGCTCGCCGGTTAGAAGGGGCTGAGTTCACATCACGGGGGAAATCTTGGTGTCCCAGGAGAGGCCTGGGGGGCTCCAGGGAAGGCCCAGACCCGGGGCCCGGAGGAGAAGAGGCTGCAGTGGCAGGGTTGGGGGGACTCAGCGGGGCCAGGGTGCCCACACCCGGCACGAGGCCGAAGTCCCCACCTGGTGCTGAGCTCTCCCGTTCCTGGAGACCTCTGGGAGGAGTGCCAAGCTGGCCCCCAAGCCCTAAGGGAAACTTCGCTGCGCCCAGGGAGGCAGGGTGGCCAAGTGTGTGGGAGGGGCTGAGGCTGCCACCCCGGCAGGTCCCGCCCATACCAAGACGGGGTCCCGGGCTTAGGCTGTGGGGATGCCGAGGGACCCCTAACCTGTGATCCCGGGGGGCCCGGCACAAGGCAGGCCCCACGCAGGGCAGGGCGGGTGAGGCCTCCTGACACGAGTGACTCTGGAAGACACTCTTCAGGGCTTTCTGCCCCACGCGCCCAAAGATCCCAGCAAAGACAGATGGAAACCCACCCAAGGCCCAAGCACAGCCCACCTCAAAAGCCACCAGTGGGAGGCGAGGGACTGCAGGAGGCCGGCAGCATGTGGGAGTGGGCAGGGGCACACAGGACACGGAGCCAGCCCTCCAGGACCGTTCTTGAGGCCGTAGGCGCATCCACCAGACCCAGCAGAGCCCCCCCCCCGCCCGCCTCTGTGTCGAGGCCTCAAGTTCCCTCCTCAGAGCTGCCTCGCAGCCGCCCATGCTTCACCCCCGTCTCAGCGACGTGCCCCCCCGAGGCCCGCCCCATCCCGGGCCTGTGCACAGCCCGTCTCCCGGCCACAGTGTGCCTGCTGCCCTGGCACTGCCCAGGCGGGGCCCCAGGGGCAGCAGCCGCTCGGCGCAAGGCTCACCGACAGGAAGGCGTGGACGATGTCGGCTTTGATGGAGCTCAGCGGCTTGTCCTTGATGACCGCGAAGACCTGTTCCTCCTTCTCCAGGCTGATGAAGTTCCCAAACCAGGACCTTTTGGCGAGCCTGGGGGCGGGGCGGAGGGCTGGGCAGGTCAGGGTACGCTGGCCGAGCCCCGAGCCCCGCCCTCTGGGCTGCTGGCCAGCTTGCTGTCCCAGCCAGACCCTGCCCTGGCCCCGACTCCCCGCCCTGACCCGCCATCCTGACCCTGACCACCCTCCGCCCTGCCCTGACCCTCACCCGACAGCCCTGATGCTAAACGCAGAGCCCTCGGCCTTGCACCTCACCCCAACCACCCCTGCCTGCTCGGGCCTGGGCTGCGCCCACCGGAACCCCACCAGGAAAGAAAGGAGGGTGGGGGTAGGGTGCCCTGTCCTTGAGCCCACCCTGACCCCCACCCTTGCTCCTCTCTGTTGAAGCCACCATGTTTCGGGGTAACTCGCTAAGCCCCAATCCTGCAGCTTCCTGGAGAAAAGTGCCCCGCCTGGGGCTATGTGGGGGGCAGGAGTTGGGGGCGGGGGGCAGGCCAGGGACCCCTGCACAGGTATGTACAGGAGAGACAGGGTTGACATGGTGCAGAGGGCCGGGGCTGGGGGCCCCGGGTGCTACCTGCCCCTCCCCGTGGCGGACCACCCTCTGTCCTTGGGGACTGGTAGCCACCTGGCCATCTGCAGCCCCGCTGCCCCAGCCCAGGTCACTCTGGAACACAGTGGTCGCTTCGACCCCTGGGGGCCCAGCCGCTGTACGGGGCAGGGCAGGGGCCACCCCAGGGGTCCCGAGGCCGGCAGTGCCCTCCCGCACGAGACCCCTCATCTCACGGGCGTCACGTGTACGCCTCCCTGCCCTCTACGCCATCATCCTCCGGTCTCGTCACTCTGCCCTGCTTCTGGGGCCTCCCTTCTCTGCGGCGGGGCCCTGCCCTATGGCGCACACCAGTGTGGGGGAGACCCCTGGCCGGCCCCACCATCCTGCCTCCGGGGTTCAGCCTGAGCGGGCCCCTCCCTCGTGTGGACGAGGCCCGGGACTTGCTCCTGACCAGGAGAACGGGGAGTGGGGGAAGGTGACGGGGGGCCCCTGCGAGCTCAGTCTCTAAAAGGCTGGACTTCCGTCTGGCGAGCGGGTCTCCACCTCTTTTTGACGAAGCCGATGGACGCGGCGGGGACGGACGGATGTGACAGCGAGGCCCATGTGGCCAGGAACCTGAATCCTGCCCGTGACCCCACGAGCTCGGCGGAGGATCCTGCCCCAGCTGGGCCTTGAGATGAGCACCGCTGGCCAACACCCTGAAGCAGGGCCCAGCCGGGCCGTGCACAGGGCCTGACCCCCAGCCACGTGCCGTTGGGAGCGACTGCTGACTGTCGCTGTCACCCAGGCAGCTGTAGTGCGGAGACGGCGAGGGCCCTGCTGGCAGACGCGTCCAACTCAGGCTGGGCCGGGGCCAGGGCCGGCCCGCTCGGGCCCGGTGTCTTGCTCCGGCGGCGCTGGCAGCGTGAGCCGCAGGGTCTGAGGCGCGGCTGCTGTTTCCTGCCGTGCACCTTCCCTTTTCCTGCCCGTTTCCAGAGCCGGCTCTCCAGCCCGTGGCGATGTGGCAGCTTGCCGACAGAGGCTGTCCGCTCTTGCGGCTTGAGCCGGCCCCAGAGACCTGACGGAGGCAGAGCCGCGGGGACACACGTCCTTCCCGACGCCACGCCGTACTTGGCCACCTTCGCCTCCTTCCCCACATCCTGCCGTCTCTGTGGCTGCTGGCGTGCTCAGAGCTCTGGGGTGCAGGCCACCCGCGCTGCTCACCCCAGCACCGCACTGCGGCCTGAGCCCAGGACGTGGGCCGGGAGGCGGCTCTGAAGCCCGCGGCGAGCGCTTCTGCCCCTCCTCCCTCGATGAAGAGACAGAGCAACAGAAAAGCTCCGTGTTGTACTTTGGTGTCTGGTTTGCAAGCAGCCTGGATGAGCCGGGAAGGCCTGTGACAGTTAATTAAGTCTGGGCGTCAACTGGGCCCGTTTGGTAAAGGTTGGGTGTGCTTCTTGAGAGCAACTTTGAGACGTGGTGACGAGCAGACTCTGGACGTGGCGGGCCTTGGAAGGTCCTGAGAGCAAAGGCTGAGGCTCCTGGAGGGGAAGGGATTCTCAGCACTGAGATGGAGAAGCCGCCCTGATTCCCGCCTGCGAAGCCTACAGTCCCCAGACTCGCCAGCCCCACGATCCCACGGGTCGGTTCTGGAACACGCGGACGCACACGCTCCACTGACACGAGGCTGCTGGCCGCTGGTGGAGGGGACGTCTCAGGGCGGGCGAACACGTCCTTGGGAGGAGTGGGTGCTGGGGGTGCAGCGGCCCCCCAGGGCCACCCGTCTGCTCCTTCCCATCAGCCACATGCAGCGGGTGGCGACGCTGGCCGGGGCCCTCAGGAGGGGGACGAGGCCTCCAGGACTCGAGAATGGGCAGGGGAGGCTGCAGGCCACCTGCACGGTGGCGTCAGCTGCTCTGGGTGGCTTTTTTTTTTGAGTTTTCTGATAAACCTAACAATTCTGTTACAAACGTGGTTGCGAGAGCGTCTGATGACAACAGGAAACGGTGACTGAAGGGAGACAAACGGGGGGATCACGGAGATCCCGAAACCCCACACTTCAGGCTGGCTGCCCTTCAGCTCCACCCCTGCCCGCTCCTGCTGTGTCCACAGGCCCCATGCGGGGTCACGACGACAGGGTAACGGCAGCTTCTCCTGCCGGGCCGAAGGCTGCCGGTGAGGTCACGACAGGGCCCTGCCCTGTGTCCACTCCGCACTTCACGTTCACACGAGGCGGTGGGGAGCGAAGGCTGGCGCCTCTCTGGGGTCTTCACCCCCAACACACGGGACTCCCGTCCAGACATCTGGCTGGGCTGCAGCACTGCCCCGCTGTCGCCTCAAGGCCCTGCTTCCTGCCCTTGCAGGACGGTGAGCCGGGGGCTCGATGTGTCCTGACCTTGGCCAAGGCCACCCTGCCCTGGACACGGTTCCTGCCGGCCGCCCCTCCTCACCTCCTCCCTGAGACCCTCCATCCCTACGAGCCACCAGGTGTCTGGCCACACTCCAGGCTGGGCTCACCCTGGGAAGCCCCAGTCAGCACTGCCCAGCGCCCCTCCCTGGTGGAGGCCCCCCTGCAGGCACTGCACCCCTGGTCACCAAGGGCTGGGGGCCGACACGCTCCCCCATGTGGAGGCCGGGGCTCTCAGCAGGTGTGGACAGTGCTCTCCCCTGCCACCCCCAGTCCCAGGCACCCCCAGGCTGTGGCTTCTGAGCACATCTGGGAAGAGCAGCTCCCTCACCGCCCAGGCCCTGCCCCCCTGGCCTGGCATTCGAGGTGGAGACACAGAGACCCCAGCGCTGAGGCGCCCCAAAGCCCTCAGTGGATCCCCCGGCCTGACACATGGGAGGGTCCGTCACAGACCCCCATGCACTAAGAAGGCGGCGACAGGTCACACTTGACCTCGGGCAGGGCCACTTACTCTGGGGACGACTCCGGGGTCAGGTTGGACATCTCCTCGGGCGTCGGAACTGCACACGGGAAGGACGGGGACAGTGTGGTGACCACTCCACCCTTCCCCCACCAGGGCGCCTGCGCCGCGGGTGGGGTCTCCGGAGCCACGGCACTGTCTCCAGCGCCCACAGGCACAGGTCAGCTCCCGGCTCCGCCGCGGCCGCAGGAGCCTCGGGCCACAGGGAGCTGTCCTGCCTTCTGGTGCTGAAACCGGGCCTCACCGTCTCTGGCCTCCAACCAGCCCTGCTGTCCCGGGATAGATGGCACCGCCCATCGACCGCGCTGGGTGGCTGGTGGGGGCCTGGTGGCCTGGAGGTACCAGTTGACCCTCGAAACCCAGCACACAGGGGCAGGCTGCCTACCACTGCCCCAGCCCCGTGGGCTTCCTCACCACACCCACCCATGCCCGCCCACTGGCCCGCTCTCCTCTGTGGGGCTCAGGCAGCCCGGCCTGAACAGGCCACTGGGCCAAGGGGTAACAATGGAGGCAGGAGGAGTCCCAAGGCCACACCCGCCGGGCAGGCATCCCTGCACTGTGGGGTCCTTGACACACAGTGGGCAGGCTTGGGGACACGTGGACACTGGGGGTACCTCTCGCCAGCGCTTTCAGGAGGATAAACCACCAAGGGGGAGGGGAAGACCCTCTGAAGCCGGCCCCTGCCTGCCCCGCTCGCCAGGATGGGCAGTGGTCCTCTGGCCCCCCGCCACCAGCCCCCCCGAGCCCCGCCCACCCCGCGTATCCCGCCACGCTCACCTTGCAGTTTCCGGCGGTGGAAGCGGGGTGACCCCAGGAAGCTGTTCTTGATGGAGTTGAGCCGTGTCCTCCAGGGCACCCCTCCCACGCTGGGGCTGGACGGTGGCGTGGGGTTGGGCGTGCCGGCCGGGCTCTCCTTGGGCGTGTGCACAGGCGTCCCCTTGGGGGTAGGGAGGGGACTGCCCCTCGGAGAGGGGTGAGGGGTCACCTGTATGGTGGGGACAGATTTGGTGTTGGCTTCAGTCCCGGTGGGTGGGAGCCGGGCAGGGGCCGGCAGGGTGGGTGAGCCCGGGGTCAGGGCCAGCTGGGGGCTGAGGCCTCCCGCAACAAGGGGCCGGGCCTGGGTGCCCGCCGGAAGCGGGTTGGACTTGGTGCCCTGCAGCGGCTTGTCGGTCAGCTTGGCCTTGCTCGGCAAGGTCTGGGTCTTGGGGTTGGGCCGCGGGGCGGCCTGTGGAGGGAGGACGTGTCCGGGCCGCGAGGCGCTCCGGCCAGCTTCGAGCTCCACGGAGGTGGCCGGGGGGCAGGCCACAAAGGGGAGCTCAGGGGGCGGGGGAGGCAAGACAAACTTTCTAACAGGCTACAGGGCAGCGCCGAGGGCAGGAGGGAGAGCGCACGGGCCCCCGAGAGCCAAGCGGCCCCAGCGCGTGCCCCGCCCGCCCCGCATGCACACACAGCACCCGGGGACCCCAAGGCAGGACCAGCGGGGGCAGGCAGGCGTGGGGGTGGGAGCGTTCGCCACGAAAGAACACACGAGAAAACAAACAAAACAAAACAAAAAACGTGCAGTTAGCGGAGGCAGCCGGAGCCCACAGAGCAGCAGCTACCACGATGCGGGCGGCCCCAGCAGCAGGGCGGGGTGGGGCCACCGAGCCGCCCCCACCCGGGGGCGCGCTGCCGACGGAGCTGGGGCGGGTTCACTTACCCGGGGGCTGCTGAGTGGGCTGGTGGAGAGGCCTGAGGAAGCGCCGCTGATGGACCTAGACCTGGGGACACAGGTGCAGAGGGCGGCTCAGACCAGGAAGGGGCCTCCGGCTCTCGGCTTCTCTCTCCCCTCAGGTGGACCCTCCAGGAGGCCTGGAGCCCTGGTTGAGAGCCCCGAGGCTGTCCCAGTCTGCGGCACACCTGGCCATGCCTGGGGCTGTCCTGCTGTCCCCACCCCGCCTCTCACCAGGCCCAGGAGAGCCCACCGCCCCTTGGGGGCCCCATCAGAGCCCCAGTGGTGCAGCTGGAGACCGTGGGACTCCTCTTCCCCCACGCAGAAGGTGCCCTGTGTCCAAGGCCCGAGGCCCCAGGTCCAGGATGGCACGGAGGAGCCCTCGGCAAGGATCTCTCGGGGCCCGGGGTGAGAGGACACAGGGCTTCCCGTGAGCCGATGCCAGCCCCGGTGCCCTGAGGCAGCCCAGCTGAACCCCGAGGCTGAGCTGTCACAGGCCCCGAGTCCTGCACTCCGCCCGGCGCCTCACACCCTGCCGTTTGGGCCACCAGCTGGCACCAGCCCAGCCCCTCCAGGCCCACGGCCCTCCCCTTGCTCACACCACAAACACCTGGGACGGGCGTCAGCAGGGACGAGGACTCGGTCCACCCCGGCCCCATCTGGCCTGCAGACCTGGCCTGGGCCTGGCCAGAGAGAGGCCACCGGCCCAGCGTGCCCAGCGGAGACACGCATGTAGCCGCCGCCCCCTCAGGGCAGGAACTGGACACCTCTCGGGGCAGGGCCAGGCCTGCGGGGCCTCGCTCCACCACCCCGCGTGGCCTCGGGGGAAAGGAAACGCCCGCTCACCCCTGGGCGCCGGCACCTGCCATCCTTAGAGCAAGGAAACCGGAGGGGTCGAGGCAGCCACAGGAGAGAAGAGGACAGAAAAGAGTGAAGGGCGTCCACACCGCCCACCCGCCAGCCCGGCCACACTGCCCACACCGCAGCTGGCCCCTGGGCCTCGGGCCGGAGCTGAGCCCACGCTGGCCGGTCCCCCAGCACCTGTGGGCCGGGGCCCCATGGCGATGACCCTCCGACTTCCACCCCGCGAGCTGACACAGCCCGGAGCCGGGGGGCAGCGCTGACCCTCTCAGCACCCCTGACCCAGCCTGCCCGAGTCCAGGACTGCACTCAGAGCCGGGCCCGAAGCTTCCAGATGCTGAGAACGGGGCTGGGGGGCTGGTCGGTGCCAGCTGGCACCCACCCCAGCGGCCACAAGCCAGCCGTGAGCTTGCTGCTCGGCACAAGGAGAGCGGAGCAGCAGCAGCAGGAGAGAGAGGGGAGCCGCGTGCACGCCCTCCTGTCTAACCAGGCGGTCCCTGGAAACTGAGCTGAGGAAGGACGGCGCCAGCACGAGAGCAGCCAGGGCGCGGAGCAGAGCGGGCGAGGCGCAGGCAGGTGCGGGGGGAGGCAGAGGGGGCCCGGGGGCGAGCGAGGTCCCGCCACTGTCACCGCCGGGCAGGAGGCCCTGCAGGGGCGGGGCTGGGGCTCTGGAAGGCCAGACCCCGTGCAGAGACCCCTGGGACCGGCACACCTCCTGCCCCTTCCTAAGGAGCCTGCAGCCGCCTGGGGCTGCCACGTCTACTCTGGCCCTTGCGGGATATGGGCCAGCGTGGGCTGGGGGAGGGGAGCTTAACAAGGGCCACGGAGGCCCACTGACCACAGGGCGAGGGCCGGCCGGAAGGGACCTCACAGCCTGCAGCCCAGGGGCCCAGGGCAGGCAGAGTCTCTGGGTCTCCCGGCCCCTCTCGGGGCCGGCCACGGGCCTCGTCCCAGCAGCCCCGCTCCTCATTCTGGGCCTCAGCCTAGCCTGACCCGGGCCCTTCCCCGGCTCGCTGGAAGGTTCCCTTGCCAAAGAGGAGAGGGCCAGATGCACCTCAGGCCCAGCCCTGCCACCAGGCCCGCCGCTGTCTTTGGGACTGGGGGGCGGGGGATGGGTGGGCAGGGTGTATACCTGTCTTCTTTGCTGAATTGGGGGTGGGCTTCAGCGATATCCAGGCTTTTACTGAACATTGCTTTACTACAGCGGGAACAAAGCGAGAAAAGAGAGTTACTGACGCAGCCCCAGCAGGCGGTCCAGGAGGCCAGACCTCCACAGGGCTCCGAGCTGGGCGCCACCCAGCTGGCCCCAGGCCAGGGCGCACAGACGCGGTGATGGGGGGGGGGGTTCCAGGAGGCCAGACCTCCACAGGGCTCCGAGCTGGGCACCACCCACCTGGCCCCAGGCCAGGGCGCACAGACGTGAGGGGCGGGGTCAGGCAGGAGAGCACCAGGGCCACAGCACACCCAGCCCCGGTGACGTGCTTGGCAGGGTGGCCTGGCCGGGCCTTGGAGGATGCCTAGCACTGCCGCCAGCCCCGGGACCCCTCCAGCCCCAGCGGGTGTGGCCTGTTGTGGTAACAAGTGGCCAAGCCAGAGAGGAGGCAGAGCCTGAGAAGCAGCAGCGGGTGGGGAAGTGCCAGGGAAAGGACGGCTCACACCTGAGCCCACCCCACCACCCCCGGGCACCCCCGGCCCCCGAGGCGCCCAGGCCGGGAAGGCAAAGCAGAAGCCGCGACAGGGGGCCTCCCACGCCCAGCCCCTGCCCCTGTGCCTGCACCTGCCCAGGCGGCTGCGGTGTGCGGGGTGTGGGTGGCTGGTGCCGGGAGGGCTGGCGAGCCTTCAAGCTGCCCTGCAGGTGTTGGACCGGAAGCCAGGACAAGGCTCGGGAAAGGTGGGCTGGGGAGAGGTGGCCTCTCGCCCGGGCCGCTGGAGGGAGAGGTGCACCCCCAGCGAGCAGGACACAAGGCACAATCAGGGCAGGACCACGGCCAGCAGAGACCTTCCCGCTGCTCGTCCCCCCACCCAGTGCACGAGCCCGCGGCGGGTGGGCCACGCGGCCTGGAGGCCTGGAAGGCCCCGGAGGCCAGGAGCCCAGGTCAGAGGCTGAGCCAGCCTGCTTCCCCGGGGAGGGCCTGGCACCACCACGGGGCTGTGGCCTGTGAGCTGGGCAGCCAGTTGAATCCTGATGGTGGGGCCCAGTAGCCCTGCGGGTCCTCGGAGGCCTGGCCCAAGGGGCTGTCCCCAGATGGCTGAAGCCCCTGCCTGGGCAGCAAAGCTTGGTCTCGCCCAGCCAGCCCCGAGTTGGCAGAGGCTCTGCAGGACCTGGGTGCCCTTCCTTCCTCCAGGGGGCACTCTGTTTGGACAGCCCAGACCTGCTCCTCACCCACCGCCCTGCCCCCGAATTCCACGTCCCTGAGCCCTGCACTGCCACAGGTGACCCAGACGGCTCAGCATCCATCGGGGATAAGCCTGATGGGCTGCAGCTCTGAACACAGCATCATCTCTGAGCAGCCTGGCTCAGCTCACTTAAGTCCAGCTCAGCTAAGCTCAGCTTAGACCTGCTCAGTTTAATCCACTCCAGCCCAGCCCAGCCCAGCCCAGTCCTGTCCAGGATGGCCTGACCCAGCCCAGTTTAACCCAGGCCAACAAAGCAAAGCCCTGCCCAGCTCAGCCCAGCCCAGCCCAGTGTACTCCAGTCCAGCTCAGCTCAGCCAGTCCAGCCCAGCTCAGTCCAGCCCAGCCCAGCCCAGAGTTCAGCCCAGATCAACCTACTTCAGCTCAGTCCAGCCCAGCCCAGATCTGCCCTGCCCAGGGCAGTCTAGCCCAGCTCCGCTCAGTGCAGCCAGTGCAGCCCATGCAGTCCAGCCCTGCCCCGTGGCCTCAGCCCAGCCCCAGGGCTGGGGGTGCAGAGAAGAGCCAGGCCGGGCCCAGCACAGCCCGCGAGGGGCCCCGTCGCTGACTGGGCCGGGACACCAGGAGGCAGAGCGCTGGGCCCTCCCAGAAGGCACGCACCTCTGGCCGTGCTGGGCCATCTCGATGGCCCGCCGCGCAGGCACCGGGGAGCCGCCGTCCGTCACGCTCAGCACCTCCATGGACTTGCGCTCAGGCCGCCGCTTGCCGTGCCGGTTCAGCATTGGGGAGTCCACGCGCTTCCGGGGAGGGTCTGTGTGCAGATGGGGGTCAGGGCCGGGCAGCCTGGAGGGGGCAGCGTGGGCCGGGCCACCCAGGCACCTTATACCTATCTCGTTCCTGGGCGGCAGGTCCTCGTCCTCGTGGCTCGGATACCTTTCTTTCCGGTCCAGGAGGAGGAAATAAATCATCTTCTCCTGGTTCTCCCTGCAGCGGGCGAGAGGCGCCAGGAGGGGTGGATGGGGGTTCCCGGAGGGCGGCGTCCCCACCCACAGACTCCGCCACGGCCCGCCCGGCGCGGCTCCCGGACGCACTCCTCGGACAGCAGGTCCTGCAGCAGCTTGTTGCGGTCCCGGAAGCAGCCCAGCGAGTGCATGCTGTCCAGCACGTCGGGGTCGATGTCCTCCAGGCTGGGCAGCGAGCGGATCTGCACCTTGCGGGGGATGGGCTGCTCCGGCTCGGGCTCGTTCTTGCCTCCTCTGTGGGTGACAGGGCACCGCCACCACCAGTCACTCACCTCTGGCCCAGCCCGAGGCCCCTCCGCGCCCCCTCCTGGGGCCCCGAATCCTGCTGCCTTCCCTGTGCTCAGCCCCTGTACACTCCTGCATCCTGCACGTGCCCAGCGCAGGCCGGCCCAGAGGCCCCAAGAGCCGGCCGGGTGGCCCGAGGCTGCAGGCAAGCCTGCGCTGCCCCCTCCCCCGCCCCCCGCCTTCCCTAGCAGGCCCTCCAGGCCACAGTGCAGGCAAAGCAGGCGATGAGGGGAGGAAAAGCTACTTACATATACCAAATGTGTTTCTGAATGTGCTCTAGCTACAAGGAAAGAGAAACAGGGAGTTAGTACGAGGAAGGAGCAGAGACCACGTTAGGAGGCCATGAAGGAGCAAGGAGGTGGGGGCCTGAGTGTGGAGAGAGCAGGAGAATGGGGGAGGGGAGGAGGGAGGGAGGAGGACCCGGGGGTAGGGAGAGCCTGGAGGTGGGGGAGGGTTGGGGGACCACGGAGAGTGGAGAGCGGGGCTCCAGGCTAGCACCCCTGACCCTGCCTGTCTCAAGTGGAAGAGAAAACGCCACCCTAGAGACAGCAGAGAGCTGGGCAGAGTGGGGGCGGCAGGCACGGCAGAGGGAGTGGGTGGGGGGTGGGAAGCAGGAGCCCCCGGGGCTCAGGGCAGGAGGCCTGAGGGAGGACAGCAGGGGTTAGCAGCCAGGGCTCAGCCCACCCGTGCGGGAGGCGCTGGGCGCAGGTGTCAGCAGGAGGCTGGGGCTAGCCCCGCCCTCCACCCTGACTAGGGGGGCTTGCTTGGGGAGGGCGGCCTCTTGGGCAGTCCTGCTGCCCCTTCCCCGGGGGAACCTGACATCCTGGCACGAGCCGAGCCCGGAGGAGGCCAGAGACGGCTGGCTGGGGCTTCCCTCAGACCCCGGCCACCCCCAGGCCACTGGAGTCGGTCATGAGGAACTATTCACGCGTACAGGGCAGGCCCCGGACAGCCGGAGTGGCTCTGCGCTCCTGGACCGCGCTGGCGGTCCACCCCGCGCCCGTGCGCCCAGGTGCGAGCTCTGGGGGAGGAGGGACGCACCGTGAGGCGCCGCGTGGCGTCCACCTCGATCATGCCGCGCAGCAGGCTCTGGCAGTCGGGCGGGATGAAGTGCGGCATGTGGAACACGCCCCGCTTCACCTTCTCCAGCAGCTGCCGCAGGTTGTCGTCGTCGAAGGGCAGCGCCCCCTGCCGGCGGGACCGGGTCACCGCGGGGGCGGACCGACGGCGGGGGCGGGATGGGGGCGGGGGCGAGGGCGGGGGGAGCCTCACCACAAGCAGGGCGAACAGGATCACGCCGCAGCTCCACACGTCTGCCTTGCGGCCATCGTACTTCTCTCCCTGCGGACAGCACTGGGGTTGGTGCGGGCGCAGGGCCGGGGTCTTTCCGGGGATCGAGGGGCCCAAGGGGAGCGTCTGGGAGGAGCTGGCCCCGTGGGCGGCGCCAAGGACAGGAGGCCAGGCCCCGGCCTGGGGGTCCACGATCTCCGGGGCAGGGAGGCCCCCTAGGCGGGACAGGGACCAGGGTGGGGGCGCGTGGTGGGTTGGCTACTTACCCGGATCACCTCCGGGCAGGCATAGTGGGGGGACCTGGAGGCAAAGGCAGCAGTCAGGGCAGGAGACTCAGTACCCACCGCGCACCCAGCCGTCCCGCCTCCTGCGCTTCCGGACCGGCCCCAGGACCGCAGCAGGTGGAGACGGAGGGGCCCTCCCCGCTCCCCCCCTGCTCCCCCCCCACCGCAAACTCTGCCTGGGACGGATGCCCCACTGTGGGATCCTCAGGCCCACCAGGAGGCCCCAGGGCTTTGGTGCCGATTCCCTCACAACCTAATCCCCCTGACTGCTCCTGGGGGAGGCCCAGGCCTGGGACCCAGGGGCCCACCTGCCCTGCCCAAGGAGATGGTCACCAGAGGCTGGACCGTGAGGCACCCCCATGAGAGTGCTTGCAGCCAGGAAGCTGGCACGCCAGCCTCACTCCCAAGTACGGCAGGGAGCTCCCAGGGCAAGACCGGCCTTTCCGAGCCTGGCCACAGAGCCGAGGGATGTAATGGGCCAGGCGGGTCGCCTGCAGCCCCTCACTGCACCGGGGAGACGGTGCCAGGAGCAGAGCCGGGGCCCTGCCTCCAGCCCAGGCTGTGGGGTGCTGGGGGGCCCTGGGGCTGCGGGGCCACCTGGCTGGGCAGCCGCAGGGCCAGGCTGTGGGCGGGGCAGCAGCCCCTGGCCTATGGAGAAGCGGCAGCCGGTCCGGGGCTCAGCTCACCCGCAGCTCGTCTCCAGCAGGCTGTCGCCAACCTGCAGCGACGCCATCCCGAAGTCCGCGATCCGGATGTTATTCTTCTCGTCCAGCAGAAGGTTTTCTGGTTTCAGATCCCTGTGGCTGGGAAGGAAGGCGGGATTGAGGCTGACAGGGGTGGGAGCTGCCGCCCCTCCCGAAACCCCGCCCTCACAACATGAGGCCAATGGCAGCGCTGCCTGGTGATGTCACCAGCAGCCAATCGGAAGTCTCCTACGGGGCAGACGGCTTCAAGGTGGCAGGATAGAAGGACAGGGACTCTGCCAGCAAGGGGCAAGTTCTGCTTTGCTCCCTGAGGTCGCGTTCCCCTTCGCTGCTCCCACCACCACACCTACTCTGGGCCGAGGCCAAACTGGAGCCCCCAGACCGAGGGTGCCCTGACCCCAGGACCCCTGAAAAAACCAAGGAGACTTGGGTGGGCACCTGGCAGAAAGCTTTCTGATGCCCCTGGGCTGGGGGGCCAGTAGAGGATACACTGCCTGATCCAGGGGGAACGGGGGGAGTGCAAGAGTGGGGGGAGGCACACCTGCAGGGACGGGGGCTAGCTGGTGGGGGACAGGGCACCTGGAGGGGCGGGGGACGCACCATATGGAGTGACTGTGGCAGAAGTCTAGCGCAGAGATGATCTGCCGGAAGAACTTTCTAGCCTCTTTGGGGGTCAGCCTCCCCTTCTTGACAAGGTAGTCGAAGAGCTCCCCACCAGACACGTGTTCTAGCACCAGGTATCTGCGGGGGACGGGTGGGCGTCGGGTGGGCGCACCCAGCCAGGGCACCGCTGCCCAGAGGCGGTGGGCCACCATCCCATCCCGGCGCCATCCTCCACCACATCCCGGCACTGGGCACCCTCAGCGGGTGGGGTCCCCGCCCGCCTCCAGGGAAGCAGGTCCAGAGGAGCAGGGCCACACTGGGCCCCAAGACGAGAGGGGCACTGCAGTTGCTGACCTTCTTGCGAGCCTGAGGCTTGGCCCTTCCAGGCCCTCCCTGGCCACCCCGGGCTGGGCTCCCACAGGAGCGGGGGCACACATCAGACACTCAGGCCCTCAGGGAGCCCTGGCCAGCAGGGCAGACCACAAAAAGGCATGGGTGGGGGACAGGGCACAGCTGGTCTCGGAAGATAGGGGGGCGGGTGAGGGACTGGGTGGGTGTGGCCAGGAGGCAGGTGGTGAACGCCCCCAGCTTGGCTCAACACGGCTGGGGTGATGCCGGAGGGTAGGGGTGAGCTGCTGGAGGCGTGGGCTTCCCACGGCGCCCCGGGTTCCATGGGGACCCCACGCCCCTCTGCGGTGAGCAGTGGGCTGTGTCCAAGCTGAGCCTCCCTGGAGTGGAATCTGAGGGGCTGGTTTCTAGGGGTGGGCGGGGGGGTGGTCCAAGACACGTGGACACGGATGCCTGCGGGCCTCAGGGGAGCTGGGCCTGGAGGGCTGAGCACAGGCCCCGAGGAGCCCCTGGTGGGAGCCAGGGAGGGGTGGTTCTGGTGGGCTGCGGTGGCTTGGGGAGGGGAGGTGGGTGACAGGGGACGTGCGGGACCAGGGCTGGTGAGGATGAGGGTGTGGGCCTCGGGGGGCTGTATCAGGAGCTGGTCTTGCAGGAATGGAGGGGCTGGAGCGGGCGGGGGGGCAGCCTGTCTGCAGAGAGGAGGGGTTGGGGGGAGGAAACGGCTGGAGACACAGGGTGGGGACACTGGGTGGGGTTCGAGCAGAGGCGGGGCCAGTCCCAGGGGACCTGCCCTGCTCCTGAGCGGGAAGCCACAGCACAGGCCCAGCGGTGCCCCAACCTCGGTGGCAGAGGTCCCCTGCCCGCTCCCCTGCCTCCAGGCTCCCTGGGCTGCCTTGGGACCCCCGGGAGGGCGCTGGGCCCACCAGCACCAAGGCCGGCCACTGTCCACCATGCTCCCGGCATCCTGTCACCCCGCCTCTGCTCGGCTGCGCCCCCGCCTGGCCTGCTGTCCGGGCCCCTCCCTGCTTCCTGCCCCTCCTGGGGGCCTCTCCCCCTGCCTGGCACCCCCACAAGTATCTGAACAGAAGGAGGCAGTGTGACCGGTCTCCTGTGTGCAGAGGTGGGCAAGGCCTGCCCAGCACCCACCCATACCCCAAACTCATGGATGTCATCAAGACACTGCCAGGTGGGTCCCCACGTGGGCCTGTGGCCCTCACGGCGGTCCCGATGGCGGCTTCAGCTCACCAATGTCGGGGGCCCAGGACCACCACCTGCTTCCCACCCCCAATCCCGTGGTAACCGGGGCCCTGCTCTTCCCAGGGCCCCCATGGGGGGCGGCTCTTGTCATCCCATCTGCAGTTAAACACTCAGAGTTGGGCATCCATGCAGCGCTGGGTCCCTGGCTGGCACAGGAAGAGAGGGAGGCCCGAGAGCAGGCGCTGCTTGTCGGAGGGGCTGGGGCTGAACCCGGGCCCCCTGCTCCCCCAGGGCCACTTCCTGCCCCCACCTCCCCTGCCCGAGACAGCGCTGCAGGGGCTAAGGCCAGCCTGCATCAGGGGCCCAGTCAGGGCTGGGCTCGAGGCCTTGAGGGCCCCTGGGGCAGTGGGCCTGCGGGGACCGTGCCAGGCCAGCCCCCTGCCCACACCCCCTCGCCCAGCTGCCCGTCCCGAGGAACGCTCTGGCAGAACCCCTCCCTGAGGGACGCGGCCCAGCAGCCAGGCCTTTCCTACGGCCACACACGGGGCAGCGGCAAAGCTGACTCCCCCGAGGGGACCCTGTGAGCAGCCACCCACATCCCCAGGGAAGCTCGCGGAGGCCACACAGCGGGGGACGTGGGGGGCTGGCCACGCGGGGAAACGTCTGCCAGCCTCAGTGGCCTCGGTGGTGACAGGAGGTCAGCCACGCTCAGCATCCCGACAGCAGGCTGGGTGAGGGGCCTGGGTGGCGACAGTGCGGTCGGCCGGCCTGGGGTCCCCACCCACGTGAGGGAGCACACGGGGGCTCCAAGGGGCTTGGCACGGGGTCCGTGGGAGCCCCCAGCAGAGCGGCAGGGTCCTGAGGCTCGCTGGGGCCAGGAGAAAGGGCCTGAGGTGCTCCTGCCCCTCGACACCCCCTTCCCCCGAGTCTGCTCCCCACAAGGCCCCATCCTCAAGCCAGTGGCTCTGCAAGTCCCCGCTGGCCAGCCCTGGACCTGGTCAAGGAGCAGTGACCGCCATGGCCTGTCCTGCAGACCCCCTCCCGGGACGGCCGCCCTCTGCCCCCCAGCTCTCCGGACCCAGCAATACCTACAAATATTTTTTGTTTTCATAGACGTCGTGCAGCTTGAGGACATGGGGGTGCTCGATCAGCTTCAGGATGGCGATCTCCCGCTCCACCTGCGGGGAAGGGGGCGCCGTCACGGCAGGCCGGGCTCATCCCCCCACCCGTGCGCCGCCCACCCGCCTGTCCAGGCTGTGGGGTCACAGAGCCCCCGGGATGCTGGGCTCCTGGGGCAGGTCCAGCCTCGCACTGGCATCTCTACCCCGTGGGCCGCCTCCTTGCCCTCCCCCAGCTGCGCTCGGTCCCTGCCAGGCCTCCGGGGGGGGGGGCCCGGTTACACCCCCGGGTCCACTTCCACTGAGATAGCTCCTGTCTCCCCACTCAGATATCTTGTGGCATCTTGACCTTAGCGCCCCAAACTGATACGTAAGACCCCGCCCCCAAGCCGGGCGCTGGCCAAGGCAGGATGGGAATCTGCCAAGCCGCCACCAGCACCGCCCACACCCCATCCAAACAACCGCCACCTCCCCTTAAAACCAGCCCATGGCGCATCCCCCAGGGTTCCCCAGCTGGGCCCACCCGGTCCCCCCCTGCCCCCACTGGCCAGAGGGGTCCTCACTGTGTCACCGGCCGGCGCCCACCACGGCCCACCTGCTTTCCTCCCCCCCTCTGCCCCTCACCCCTGCCCGCTGAGAGGACAGCCGTTCGGAGAGATGAGCAGACAGACGGGGAACAGAGCCTGGGCAGCCCCTCCCCGCTGAGTGTCTGGTCCCACCCAGGAGTCCTCCAGTCGCGTGGGGTCTGCTTCAGTCCCTAAGGGAACCGGACTCCACCAGGGCTGGGGGGATGCTGAGGTGGGGGGAGCGGGGAGGAAGAGGGGCTGCGAGGCCTCCTGGGACCCCGCACTTCCTCTTCTCCCTCAGAGACAGGGGTCTCCTCCTGATTCTAACGGGGGAAACTGAGGCCAGCCAGCCCTCTCAACAGATGGGGCAGCAGGACCCAGCAGGAACCCCCTTCCCAGGCAGCTCACCTGCAGCCTGGCTCCACCCCGCCCACTGGGCCTCCCCACCTCCCCCAGCCGCCCCCAAGCTCACCTTCATCAGTACAGACTCGCTGAGCTTCTCGCGGTTGACGATCTTGACAGCCACCTTCTGGCACGTGACACAGTGAATCCCCAGCTTCACGAGGCCTGGGGGCGAGGGGAGCCCTCAGACCCCATCCGGCCACCGCCCAGGCCTGACCAGCAGGGCCCCTCCCGCACCCAAGCCCGGCCCCTCACTCAGCGCCGGGATCCTGTGCCCCTGCCCCCCAGCCTGTCTTGGGCCAACCCCAGGCCAACGTCTGCCCTCCCACGCCCCCTGGTCGCTGGCCAGAGGCTGTCCCCGGTGTGGTCACTCTGACCCACGCCACATACTGGCCCTCTGCCCCTCCAGCTTGGGCCTCACTCCCCGGCCAGCGACACCTGGAGTCCCTCCCCCAGACCTTAGCCGGAGCTCAGCCCCTCGGCAGGGGAGCCAGGGTGCCCTCAGGTCCCACAGGCCCCTCCCCCACCCGTCACCCTCTTCTTGGCCTTCGGACCCCTGGACAAGGTGCCCCCGACACCTGTGTCCAGCTCCCTGCTCTCCCCAGGACACCAGCACAGGCCCAAGGCCCCTCCCCCGGCAGCTGCGGCCCCACAGCCCGCCTCCTTGCATCTCCCGCGGGACAGGACACTCCGCCGATTCACCTCTGCTGTCGTCACCACGCTGCAGGGAGCCGCGGTCCTGGTCACTGCCCCCTGGCCTCCTGGCCTCCGCTGGACCTTCTGTGGCCTCAGACCGAGATGCCCTGCACTCTCCCCTCCCAAGCCTGGGCCCGACCTGGACGTTCCCCAGAGGCGGCCTGTGTTCCCCGATGGGCACGGAGGTGACCGCCATAGTTCGGGCCACCCCTGGCATTCGGGCGCCTGGATGTGGCGTAGGACGGCCTGCTCTCCACGGCACTGCAGCCTGGGTTCTGAGGGATGTGGAGCGCTGGACGCCCCTCGGTTTCATTCACACTTTGCCGACTCTGCTGCTGCTGCTTTAGTTACGACCTTGACACAGTCTCACGGTTCCGACCACTCGGGTTTGCACTTGCCCCTTTTTACGCTGCTGAAGGGTGGCTCTTACCAATTTGCAAAGCCCTTTGCTTTGTACGCGAAATGAATTCTTTGCCATGTGCATCAAAAACACGTTCCCCTAAGGGGCACATCTCTTTATCAGGCCTTCGGGGCCACGAGCAGTCACACCCTCCCAGCAGTGTCGCCTCCTCCTCCTTCCTGCTCCCCGTGGGCAGTGAGCCCGCTGGCGGCCGGGAGATGACCTGTGCCCCCCAGACACAGGAGCAGCAGCAGGCGGGGCTGGACGAGGGGCGGGGGACCAGGCCCGGTGGAACCCCTGAGCCCTGAGCCTGGGGGCCCGAAGCTCCTTGGCTCAGGGAAGGACAGAGCTCCCGCAGGCGGGCCCGCTGAGCCCCGGCTCCCACCCGGGAAGGGCTGCGGGCTCCTGGGGGCTCTCCCCAGCTGCCTTTGATCCAGAGCTCGAGCCCTGTGATTGCAGGTCAGGAGCCGAGCACAGAGAACAGGCCCCGGGCAGCAGGAAGAGCGCCACCGGCATCTGTAATTCAGAGCCGTGGCCCAGAACGGCTCTCCACAGCCTCCAGGATGGGAACCGGGCCTGGCACTGACCCCTCCACCCCGACTCCAGGCAGAAACAGAAGGGGAGCCAGCCTGAGTGAGAAGCAGGCTTCTGCCTGGCGAGGCCCCCAGACAAGGTGCACAGGCCTCGAGGAGCTGCAGCAACGGCGGCCAGGCCACTTCCCGGGGGCACAAGTCCCTAATGCCCAGGACAGATGGCCCAGAAACGCCCCACAGATGAGCCTCACACCCGTGCACACACACCCCTACACGCGTGTCCTCAGGAGGCCGGGGTCAGGGGCACGTGGGGAATAAAGGGAAGTGAGCTTCAACTCAAAAGGGACCTGGACAGGGATGCAGGCGACCCTCCGGAAGTGGAAAACTAAGTGGCCTCTACCACTACCCCCATCACTGACCACCACAGCAGCCAGTCTGCTGACAGAGTGTTGGGGCCATGTGACATCGGAGACCTCACTTCACAGATGAGAAACTCCATCACCAGCTGGTGCACAGAAAGGCCAGGAGGACAAAGGACCCAGTGGACAAGGTGCCCTGGACGAGCCCCATGCCATCAGGGCGTGAGCCTGCCAAACCCTCACAGCTGCTAGCGGGCCTGTGGGCTGGGCCCCCGGCCAGGACACGTGGCTGGGGTGCAGGGGGCTGCCCTGGGCCGCGTCCTAGAACTCTGGTGGCTATCTCCCTGCCTTCACCTTCCTCCGCTTGCTGCCTCTTTCCCTGAAAGTCCTCTGCCCACAGACTCCTACACACCCCTCAAAGCCCAGCATGGAGGTGCCCCTCCTGGGTGAAGCTTCCAGGCCGCCCTGGCTGTGCTGGTCTCCTGCAGCCCCGGGGTCCTCTGGGGTGGGATGTTTGGGTTCCAAGGAGTCCTGCCACTTCCCTGGAGGCGGGGAGCAGAGTGCACCCTCGGGAGGGCCTGCTAGGGAAGCCCAAGACTGCCCTAATTACCCCACCCTCCAACAGCTCTGGCTCATTTTCCAATTGTGATTTCACCTCTAATTATTGCCTTTGCAGCAAATACGGCACATGTCAAGTGAAGGCAAGTACAGAGCGTCACAGATAATTGCGGGAGGAACAGAGGCAATCCCGCCCGGCGGGTGCTTGAGGGTGCTGCGCTGTCTGCAGGAAGGGGCTCCTCAAGGGCGTCCTGAGGACCCCAGGCCCACCCACGAGCTCCCCACCACACCCCAGGCTCAGGCACAAGGACGCATGTGCACGAACACGGGCCCCCACCTCCCGGGGCTCCTGAGCACGGCTGGGAGAGTCAAGGGGATCCAGGAACCGCCAACTGAGAGCAGACCCCGCCCCAGGACGCCCAAGTGTGCGGGACCTCCCCGCACCTGGGCCAAGGGCACGGGGCAGCAGGACGGCCCTCTCGAGCACCCCGGCCCCTCCACTCATCTACTATGGCTCGAGGGCCAAGAGGCGGCCACAGTGCTGGGGGCAGGGAGCTCTCCAGGCCTGGCTCAGCGCCCTCTGCAGCCCCCGCTGGCCCCTGGTTAGCCGTCAAACCCAGGGCACCAGTCTGGTCGGAGGAAGGAGGCCAGGGCCCCGGGCGGCCCGGGAGTGGTGAGGAGCAGAAGGTGCAGCCCGCGGGGTTCTCAGACCTGCAGGGGTCCAGCATGGGAGGTGGCTGGACGAGCCTGTGGGGTCAGAGGTCAGGCAGGGGTGGTCCTGAGCAGACGCCTCACCCTACGGCTCTCTGGTCATCCTTGGCCTCCCTTTTCTTCTTGGTCAGGTACCTTCAGGGAAAAACCCTGCTGGAGAGCCCTGCACCCAGGGGGCTGCCAGCTCGTAGGAGTGAACAGAGCACGAGGGACCACCGCCCAGTGGGGAGCCCCCAGAGGGGGGCCCAGACTCCACTGCCCAGAGACTGCCGTTGGGGCTGGACAGGGGTCCAGGCCAGGTGACACTGCTGCAGCTGTGGGGGGTGGGGTGGCGGGGAAGAGGACCCTCTGCACCCCAGGCTTAGCCCTGTAGCCCAACAGGGCAGTCAACACTGGGGGTGTCAGCGGGGCCGCCTGAGGACTCCCCTCCTTACAGACACAGGGGGGTCACTCCCTCTAACTGCACGCCAGCCTCCAGCACTGTTTCCACCCCCAAGTAATGAGCCTCTGTGGGTGCCCAGGCCCACCTGGGAGGGGAAGGCCCTGGTTTGGTGCGGGCGGCATCAGGCTCCCCTCTCGACCTCTCAGGGTGGTCCGGCCAAGGCCTGCTGCCCCATCCCTGCAGCCCCCATCCCAGCAGCCCCAGCCCTGCAGCCCCCAGCCCAGCAGCCCCAACCCTGCAGCCCCCAGCCCTGCAGCACCAGCCCTGCAGCCCCCAGCCCTGCAGCACCAGCCCGACAGCCCCCAGCCCCACTGCCCCAGCCCCGCAGGCCCCAGCCCCGCTGCCCCAGCCCCGCAGGCCCCAGCCCTGCAGCCCCCAGCCCTGCAGCCCCAGCCCAACAGCCCCCAGCTCCACTGCCCCAGCCCTGCTGCCCCAGCCCTGCAGTCCCTGTGGGCAGACAGTGCGGCTCCCAGGGGCCTGCCCCTCCGCCCTTCATCCTGAGCTCAGAGCCGCCCCAGGCCCTCGGCTGTCCCTGTCCGTCTCCTCTCCAGGTGCCAGGCCACTGCACGGCCTCCCTCAGGGCATGCTTGGAGCACCCCTTGGAGGGCCCTTCTCCCCGCCCCGGGGCCCCTCGCTCCTCTGCCTGTGGTCATCAGGTCCTGAGACCCCAGCTGGCCCCACCCCACCCCTTGGGGGCCCAGTGAGCATCCTGCACCCATGGCTTTCCTGGCCACCCCCAAGTGGCAGCTGCAGGGGGATCAGGACCAGAGGGAGGTCCCACTTCTGTCAGTAACATTCCTCTGTCAGGTTCCATCTCTGATTACCATCCCCCCACCCACCCACCCAGCCCACAGGTGCTGCCCACCTCATCTGAACCCCCGATGGCGATGGGGGCACCGTGGCTCAGTCTGTCAGCCCCCCACCACACGGCACTATGATCACCCTTCCGGAGGGGCAGCGTCTCATGGGTGGGAGCCTCCCTCCCAGGATTGGGGTGCCTTTCCTACACCTATGGCCCCTGAAGATGGCCTGCGGGTTCCCATCACCCAGGGCCTTCCCAGCACCCTCTTTAACAGGCCCGGAGGGAGGTTCTCGGGGCCTGGGGGCACGCTCAGCCGTTGTCTGTGGCAGGAGAGCTTCGTGACCTTCTCCCCCGCGGATGACGTGTGTTTCACACACCGCGTGACAACACAGCAGTGTGACCTCGAGCCTACCCTGGCTTGAGCTCCACGCTGCCAGCCAGCGCTCACCGGCCGTGTCCTCTGCACACCCACCACGTGCCAGCCTGGGAGTCCTCTGCACACAGGAACCAGGGCACGAGAGGGGTGCGCGCAAGCTAGCGCACACACACGTACGTGGGTCCCGTGCGTGGTTGCCGCCACCCGCGCCTCCACACCGCCGACTGGCCGTGTGACCTCAGTGACACAAATCCCACGGGCTCTGCACAGCGGCTGGGTCTGCCCCGGGCCCTGCTGGCAGAGTCCTGCAAAGTGACACATGCAGGGCGCATGCGGCTCCCACACAGACGGGAAAGCAAAGAGAGTAAAGACTGGTTTTGCCATTTCTCGTTTAAATCACCAGGTCTAAATCATGCTGCCACCGTGAGCACCATCCCTGGGGCATGGAGCCAGCTAAAGGAAGAGAGAAGGCCCCTCCACCCCCTGGGCCGGGCTGTCCCCTGCGTGGGCCCCTTCCTCGGTGGCGTCAGCTCTGCAGGGCCCTGGAGTTTTTGCCTAAAAGGCCCTTCTCCCCGCCGCCCCGCCGTCTCCATACTGCCAGACGCACCGAGCCGCAGCTTCACGGGTTCCGGGGTCCCTCCTGCTTGGCACCCTGCCCTGTCTCTCCTGCCTGCCCAACCCCACGGGGGAGTCCCCTGCCTCAGGGGCCAACCCCGAGACCCCCTCCTGTGGCTTCTGCCTCGCACCCCCCAGAAAAGGGCGAAGGTTCAGATAAAGGGTGGGGGTCAGCCTGTCTCCCCGGAAGCGGGCCCCCAGGCTCTGGCGGAGGGGGAGGGGCGCCAGTCCGGAGTCGGCACGTTTCTCTGTTACTTCCGCGGGAGCCAGCGGGAGGCGGCCTGGACACCAGAGCCCGCTCTGCTGCAGCGCAGCGCCAGCTGCTGTCCGTGGTGCTGACAGAGCCGGGCCGCAGCCTCCGACGAGCCCAGGCCTTCGGGGGACAGGAAACAGACCCTGGGGGGAAGGGACGGGACACACCCGCTCCTGCGAAGCCCCCGTCCGTGTGCCCACACCGGTCTCCTCGCGCTGGGGACGCGGGCACGGGTGACCAGACGGGGTGGAGGGCAGGATGCGCCACAGCCCAGCTCGGGTCACCTGGCAGCTCCAGTCCCCCGTCAGGCTTCTGCTGAGCCCAGAGGAGGGCAGGGCAGCCTGCCTGGACCCCGCAGAGGCCCTCTGAGCACCCCGGGAGACAGCAGCATCCAGCCGCTAATGCTCACAGGACCACGGAGCACCACTAACGCCCGGGGCGGTGACCGGCCCTCCTCGCGCGTCACTCCCCACTGTGCCTCTGGACCACGTGGCCAGCTAATGTGGTGCCAGGGCCACAAGCACAGCTAACGGCGACCCACTTTCCACCTACTGTGGGGGCGTCGGGGGTTGCTGTTTTCCTGGGGTGGACAGGATGGAGCAGCCCTGTCACCCTCCCGCCCAGGCTTTCGTTGGACGATGGGGGAGGCGGCTCCACACCGGCTCTTGGGAAGAGTCAGCAAAGCTGGTCACCCTGCTGCCCGGCCCTGCTGCCCACGGCTGGCACCCGGGGAGCCTTAGAGAGCGGTCGGGGCGAGACGGGCTCGGCTGCCCTCACTGAGACGGGGCAAGAGAAGGAATGGGGCTGAGTCCCCAGCCTGGGAGGGGACACGTCTTCTGGCATCAGTGCAGTGGCGCCTGGCCTCCCGGTGCAGGTCCTTCCTGCCACCTAGGAACTGGCTGCTCCGCCCGCCTCGGTGGACTGCAGCCCGAGGACCCCCGGTGACTCGTGCCTCCTGGAAACCGGCCCCTGGGCAGTGTGGTCGCCCCCACGCTGCACCAGAGCTGGTCTGTGTGGCCAATGGAACGTGGCAGAACAGATGGCTTCCTGTCTCCAAGGTCAGATGCTAACAAGAGCACAGCTTCCTTTGGGGTCCCTGGGGTCTTGCTCGGGTGGAGACGGCTGCCTTGTATCTAGGCAGTGCCCCTTGGAGAAGGCCACATGGCCTCCAGGTGACAGCAGGGGCGGGGGGAGCCTCCAGTGCAGCCCACAGCTGGAACCTCGTGAGACCCCTGAGCCCCATGCACCCAGCTCGGCTGCCCCGGACGCCTGCCCCTCAGGGTGCGGAGAGAACGTTTGCCGTCTCAAGACACTAGGTTTTGGGGGCAGCTTGTTACATAGCAACAGAGATGAAAGAAATACACTCAGCCCTACAACCGCCAGGCCTCAGAGGAATGCCCAGGACGGCGTCCAGCGTGAGCCTCACAGACAGGGCACATGGCCTCAGCGGCAGTCGAGCCTGGTGGTCCCAGCCAGTGCTCTCAGGTAAGAACCCGAACCGCCCCAGGCCTGAGCTTCCTCACCTGAAGAAGCAGGAAAACTAATCCCCCAACAGGCCCCTGGCCGGCCCGGCCCAGCCCCACAGGACAGCAGGAGGTGCCTGTGAAATCCTGGGCCCGGAAGAGGGGCGGCCTCTCCCCCTAAGCAGCCTACCCGGAGGGCGTCCCAGGGCCAGAGCCTCAACCCTGGTCTGTCTCGACCCCCAGCCAGCTGGCCGGCTCCCGCCATCGCTGGGGGAGAGCAAGGGCCTGCCCAGCTCCCAGGACTAAGCCCTCCCAGGCCCGGCCAGGTTGGGAGCCCTACGGACAGCAAGGCGCACGGATGCTGGTGGTGGGTTGAGGATGACGCACGGCCCTCCCCACTCCCGGGGGGTTGGGTGGAGGGGGCTGTATCCTTGTCTTTTAAACCTTGGGGAAACTCCTGCCACCGGGAGGCCGCTGAGAAAAGGGGACTCCTCGGCCCATCCTCTGTCTCCTACACTGACCCCGTCTCAGCCCCCTCCACTGTCTGCCTGCGTGGGTGGGGGACCCTGACGGGGGGCAGGAGGCCACCCCACTAGGGTGACGGTTAACCCCACCTGGCTCTCCTCCCATCACCCCCCCAATCGGGGTACCCAGCTGTGGGGGAGGAGCCCTGGTGGCACCCAGGTCCAGGCTTCCAGGAAGAGCATCCCCTCCCTCATCCTGCAGGACCAGGGACAGCTAGGCAACAGCCAGGCGACGGCCACGGGCTCCCAGCCGCAGCCGAGCAGCTCTTGAGCCCACGGGCAAGGAGCAACAGTGCAAAACTGGGATCCGCTTGGGGCCCCAAACCCAGTGTGCAGGGGTTGAATGGTGGCCCCAAGAAGATGTGTCCACGTCCTAATGCCCAGAACCCATGAGTGTGAGCCTGTCTGGGAAAAGGGCTTTTACAGAGATACTTACGTTATAGATCTCAAGAGGAGATCACCCTGCATGGAGGGCGCGTGGGCCCTAAATCCAATGACAAAGTTCTTATAAGAGAAAGACAGAGGGAGATTAGACACAGGCACACGTGAAGATGGAGGAAGAAGCCGTGGGGATGCTTCTAGAAGAGCCAGCAAACCACCAGAAGCCGGGGGAGGGGCCTGGAACCATCCTCCCTCAGAGCCTCAGGAGAACCACCGCAGACTTCCGGCTCCTGGAGTTGAGGATAAGATTCTGTTGTTCTAGGGACCAGGGTTGTGGCAGTCGTGTGGGGCCCCAGGGAACTGTGCAGGGTCCCTTCAGCTAACACGGTATTTACCTGAGTCTTCTCTCACCCCAAACCTCCCGGTACGTTTCAGAAGGGTTTCCGTTCACTCCAGAGGCCTCTATGTAAGCACATACCTTCACGTCACTCAGTGTAACGGGAGCCCCTCCCCAGGCCCACATACACGCGGCAAAGGCCTCTGTGCCCGCCGCAACGGGCAGCTGCCAACAGCGCTGGAGCACCCAGGGGCCCTGGAGAGGTTAAGGACGGGACTGGGGGTGGGCTGTCGGGTCCTGCTGCCTCTGTGAGTGCTGAGCAGCTCTCACGGCAAGCCTGGCTGGCACCCCCCTCGCCCTGCCTGCACCGGCGACATCTGGGGCACAGGCCCTGGGGGCTGCAGACCTGGTCAGCCTGGAGCCATGGCTGAGACCCTCGGGCGGGCGGGC